TGAAGTGGGGTAAGAAAGTCCGTGTTCGTGAGTAAGAACAAACGTGACATCAAGTAGTGGCCCCCGTGGATGGGTCTGTGTCTGAGCGATAGAGGTAAGAGCCGGTCTGCCAGGAAACTGCTGCTTTTCAGCTTGGCACTGGAGCAGGAAGAGAGTGAAGTTTCTGAGCTCTGTTACAATCACTTCAGTCAGCTTTAGCTATGTTGAAAGCCAGTTTTGGCCACACCAGCTTTGAGGTTGCTGTTGACAATCCCTTTTTGAATATACTTGTCTGCATGGTTGCAGAAATGATTAATAACKCCTGATGATTTATATCAAGTTAATGGTCTATTTCAAGTCGTCAGATTTTTCCTCCAGCCATGCAGGAATTGGGATGCATAAGCTGCAGTGCTACTGGTAAAGAAAGAGCATCGCGGGATCAGATTTCCACAACTCCCTTCTCCTCAGCTCAAGACTCTAGCTGCGTTTTAGATAACCCTGTGCTGACCTGAGTGCSTGTGTATTGGTTAGAGAATCACAGAGTGGTTAAGTTTGGAAGGGACCTCTAGAGATCATCTAGTGCAGAGATGACAGAGGATCTCGAGTCTTCTCTAGCCCTCTAGAGATCATCTAGTCCTGGGTGCAGTAGATGCACCCCATGTGGCTCTAGGCTCTGACACAGCACTGCTGACAAACGTCAGGGTGAGSGTTACAGGCACGGTGGAGTTTTGAGTGTGTGAGGAGCAAGATAAGTTGATCTGACTTGTATGAGGTGCTGCATTCAAAATCTGGGGTCCAGTCCCAATTCTGCTGCCTTCCTGATGAGCAATGCKCTTAACTTTGGTGATACTGTCGCCTTTAATTCGTATTCAATGTGGCTCATCTGTAGCTTTTATTTGTTGCTCTTTAATGGTATTGGCAAAAGAGTTTCTTTAGCCTGCTTAACTGGGCTGACCTTCAGCAATAGTTTAAACTTACAGAATACGCCGTGTTCTTGAGCAGCTGTCGCTTGCCAGGCTTGTAGCTAAATCGTGTTTAGTGTGAACTGAAGAGTTGCTCTTGAGCATCACTATATTAACGCTTGGTGTGGGACTTAGTTCCCTGTAGAAGTGTTAGAAATTCACAGATGAGAAATACTCTGAGTTGGTAGCTGACATGTTGAAGGATGATGTCTGGGAGAATAAAGTGTTGCTTTCAGTGAAGATCTGTAACAGTTTTTATTAGGAAAGGTGACTTTTTCTGCTTCTATACTTAATGATAAAGTTTCTATTTGAATTCTCAATGGTTATGGCACCCTGGGCAGCATAAAGCTTTCTGTGTTTGGTAAGGAGCGTGGAGGAGGCTATGGCAAGTAATAGAGAAGTCTGATAAACCTAGTTTTGCTAAGGTAATGTGCAATTTCGTGTAGCAGAATTGTGTTTTGTCTAGACTAAATAGCTTGAGGAATGACTCTCCTGAGCTGTATGTCTGTAGGACTTGACCTCCCAGAAGAGCCTAGGAGCTGCAGTGTGGAGGCTGTAGCCACGTGTTGGACGTATGGGACACCCTGCAGTGAGGGTTTGTGTCTTTGCCACTTCATTTGTGGATGTTCTGCTCTCCTGTAAGGTAATGTTGACGTTTGAGCTGTGGGAGTGTTGAATGTGTGCCCCTGGGTAGAGACAGGGATTTGAAATCATCTAGGCTGCTTTTGTGTTTTATGAGCTCTGGGATTATTGGCCTCTGGCAGGTGCCTAATTGAAGGTACCCTTTGATCAGATCTTCTCCAGGAATCTTTTTTTTATCTTCTTCTGTCCTCCACAAGTGTTATGTTCTGCCTTAGCTGCATCCAAAGCAACAAAGTTCAGGGCTCCGTAACGATTTCAAGGGAACTCTCTAGTGCCGAGTTGGACAAACCTGTGCAGGTGAATTTGCCATTACGAGCTCCTCAACTTTTGGAACAACTTTTGCACAAGGGAATTTTCATCCTGGTACCAGCCCTGTTCATACTCTGCTGTGCTGTGGTCTCTGCGTTATACTGGCATTGGCAATTGCCACTGAATCCATGTGTTACAGAATACGTTTCACAACCTAATCTTTCAGCTCCCTTAGACCATGCGTGGTCCATGTACACTTGCCCGGAAGGTGGCTGTATATGGTGCAAAGCGGCTGCTTGTTGCACATCATCCTGTAAAAGGCTGAAGTGGTGAGAGGAAGCGAGGGGAATTTCTGTGCCCTGCCTGAGGGGATGTGCATTGTGAAGGCAGCAGTGCCCACTGCTCTCCTGGGCACTCTCAGCAGGAGCATCCTTGTGTGCCAGCCTGCTGCAATGAGGAGAACTGGTTTGTGCCAACACCTGACAYGTGTTTCTGTTTGGAGCTATTTCATTTGTACAGTGAGCTCTATAGAGGAACCTGGAGAATGGGGCGTGCTGTGGCCTCTCTTCTGGGAGGCACTGCTRGTACCACTATCCCTATTAGCAAACAAGTCTAAACCAAGATTCTCCTGTTGCACTCGCACAATTCCTGAGCGAGGACAGTGGTGACCACGTAACAGCCATGGAAGCTGGTGGTTCAGTGAGCTGCTGAAGGCCTCAATGTTGTGGGAGTGAAAATGTTGCCCTGGCTGCATTAGGGGGTTCCCTCTTTAAGCCACCCCCTGTATCCAAGCAAGGTGGTTTTGCTCTTGCTGTCCCCGGGGACCTGTGGAAACAGCCAGCTTCATCAGGGGTTGTCTTGCCTTGGCTACAGTCAAGATAACCATTAAACGTGGGAGAGCATTTGCCCACATTTTCTATATTTAAAAAAGGAATAAATATTTTATTCAACTGGACAGAGGGCCTTGTAAAATGCATGGGTGGCTGCARGCTTTCTTGCTGCGCTGAGTGCATCAGCCTTTGACTTCTGGCACAGTGTAAGTGAGGTAAAGCCGATACAGGGCTGCTGCCTCTACTAGAGGAGTAGTTGAAGATCTCTGCTTAGAGATCTCTGCGACTAGAAGATGTCAAGCTAATAATAAACCTTGAGCAAGCAGTGTTATGGTATTAAGAAAATCTTTTAAAATCCTGTTATTTTGTTAATGGTAGTTCTGATGTGTTTTTTTTCTCCTTCTCTAAGGGTAGGTTGATACCTACCCTTGGAAGTTGTAAAAATGCTGAATGGTTAACAACTTCAAATAATACCTACTATATTTTCACTAATTATGTAGTTACTCTTTAATACTTTTCTAGTTGCTAGCAGAAGATATGTATATAATCAGCCAGTGGGACTTGTTTTATTTGTTTGTGTTTGTTTTTAAGTCTTCTGCTTAATTCAAATGAACAACCTAGAAATTGTTTTTATTTTGGTAACATCAAGGTGTTTAATTTACTTGATGTGTTTATAGCCACAACTGTGCTCATCTCGAGAGATTATATTAGTTGCTTGAAATGTCTTGTTACATTAAGATTTACTCCATTATGAAGACTGAGTGAGCTAGAACAGACTTTTGCTATTTTTTCTAGGAGCAATTCCAGTATTTAGAGGGGTTAGGGGTTTGACATTATTTAGAAGTAACAGGGAGAGGAGGAAGTCTCAGGAATGAGAGAGCTGTGAGTGGTGCTGCCCTGYGAACCAGTTCTGCGCAGCCATCGCYGTTGAGCTCACGTGAGAAGCAGGACGTGTTTTTGTCCGTGATGGGGATTTTGCAAAASCTTAGAAATGGGAGAGAGCAGATTGGCTGAGCTTGGCTTGACTAAACAAATGAAATTAAATACTTTCTTGTTTTAAGATTATCTGAAAAATGATAAAAAGAACAGGCAATATGCAACTGCAGCTTAAAATCCTATAATGTATCATATTGTGTCATATCTTAAATGTACTTGGTACAGTTTGTTAGTTTTAATCAAAAATGAGAGCAAAAATATATATTTTTTTCTTTGTAATTTAGCTGCTTCACACCTATATGATGCTGTAGTCATTTAGAAAAAGYTTGTTTCCTTTTCCTCCCATCAGAGTCACATGGCCATGAATTTACAAAAACAGGGTAAAGATTATGTAACACTGCAAGTAAAGCAACCTTCTTGGTGAGGAYGAGGACGCTTAGGTAGGATATACTTAGACAGATGACAATTCTCTGCCTAGGAAAAGCTTTCTTAAACCTATACATGCCTGGCTGCTTCTGTCAGTCTTTTTAAAGCAAGAATATTAGCGAACTGTAAGCAGACTGTCTTGGAGAGGATGCGTCACGGTGTCTGCACAGCGAAGCTGTAGCTTCTTTTAATATATTGTGACTTTCCAAAGTGCCTTGATAGGGTTTGAAATGGTTCCCGAGACGTGAGCATAGGGTTTGTTCTGCGTGTATTTTGCGTGTTTGTGAGTAGGCTGATCTCTCTCCCTGTGCTCTGGGGCAGCGGCTGCAGGTGGTTGTGGTGGCCAAAGCTCCGCTCGGCGCCGGCGCATCCTGGGATGGGGCTCCGAGAGCAGGAAAACGTCCCYGTTGTTCCATTGAAGGGCTCTACCGTTTAATATGAGCAATGGGTATCTGTGCAGATAAGATGCACACCGTCCCTGCAGGTCAGCTATGGAAAAGGAGGTTTCAAATGTGCTTAGGCCCCTGAGAAATAACAATAAYTAGTATTTCTAGCAGCAATTAGTACAGCAAGAGAGTTGTTATTGTGGGGTTCCCTCTTAATGTCTCCTATGCCTGAGGAGCTTCTGTTTCTTATATGATACAGCAGCCTAGTCCCTCAACTGCACCTATAGGTTGTAGATATGGAAGAAAAGCCTGGCATAAATCCATAATTCCCTCAACGGAATCGAGGTTTGTAAGTGTAGTTGGTTGACCTCTCAAGCCACCAGCTTTTATTTTTCATTTATACRCAATGGTGCTACAACCTCAGGAGCTTGTTTCATCTCCAGATTAGAATGTTTGAGTTTCTTTTGTGAATTCCATGTTTCAAAACAGTGACTCATATCTGGCTGAAACTTGGCTGTTCCAAAAATATGGTTTACTTGCTAATGGAGGGAGATTTCAAGTGCTAGTTACTTTTTTAAAATATCGCAAACATGTTCACTGGTAAGTCTGCTTAAGAATTAAAAAGCATCAAAACAAATTTGAGGTTAGACTATTTTGCATGTTATTAACACTAAGCATCTGTTGCTTAAAAAGTCAAATATGCAATTAAATTTCCATAATCCCACAGTCTAAAAAARTAAAATCTTTTTCTGATGAAGATGATTTTAGTGCACTCACGCGGTACTTAAGAAAAGCCTTGCTGATAAATGCATGGTTCCCACTTAAATTGCTTATTAACATTTGAAATAAAACATGGAATTCTCTTTTATTTTGTGTTGGGTGAGTGGGATGCAGTTTGCTCGTGCCAAAAAAGGCAGCAGCAGCATTGCATCCTAATGTGCTTTCTCGCACATGGCAGCGTTTGCTTTTGTTGCAGAAAGCCGAATGAGTGGGAATGAGAGCAGAGAATGAGGAGAGCACTGTCCGTCAGCGCAGAAGGCATCAGCACGTTCAGGCGGCCRCTGTCATGTGCTTGAACACAGAGGGACTGCGCGATCATCAAACCTGGGCTGCCGCTCGTGCCCCTGTGTGACAAAGGATTTGCTGCCAAATCCTGTCCGAGGGGGTTGGATGGGTCCTGCAGGCTGGRCTAGGTCCTCGTTGCGAGCCACACGTGTCCTGGTCTGTGCGTGTTTGTGGTCCCATTTTGGTGGAGAGATGAGAAAAGCCACAGCATYGTCAGGGAAGAGTGAGAACAGGCCAGAGTGGAGCTGCACTCAGTAAGCAGCCTTTCTAGGTTCCTGATGCAGCGTGATAGAGTGACCTGGCCGGTTATAAATCCTTGAAATTAATAGACCTAACTAATGACTGTTYGACTCTTGTAGAAGCCAATGGGAATGTGTATGTAGAGTCCAAATATTGAATATTTCTGAAGAACATTCTCTTCTCTGATGAGGCTGAGGATTTTAAAAACAGATGGTTCAACAAATCTTTRGGTTTTGTGTGTTCTTGTATCTTTGGGTGGGAGTGCTGGTGTAATCGAAAGCCATGGCTGCAGAGACTTCCCTGTTCCCTTGCTCCTGACTTAGTGAGCAAGCCAGAGACGAAGACGCCTCAAYGGGAGCTGGTTGAAACAAGTCTTGATGCAGGAGGGCCGTGGTTGGCACATCTCGTGTGCCCCACTGAGCCCATGTGTGCTAGGAAAATCTTGGGCTAAGAGTATTATGCTGTTGCAGAAGACTTGGCAAGTGGCTTGCACGCTAATAAAAAATCAGTGAGATGTTATCGGTCTAAAACCTGAAATACCTTTAATGAGGTATAGCAGCACCTCATTAAAGCAATAGTAGGATTGGGGAAACAGCAGCTGGGCACGCAGCCATGCTTCTGCAGTAGCAAGAACTGGTCATTCTTCCAGCTGTACCTGAACTGGAGCTGGAGCTGAAGAGCCTGTAATTAGTAAAGGAAAAGTGCTCAAAYCCATTGACCCACATGCTGATTTTCCTTAATCTTAAAAGCTTTGTGGGATGAATGTTATACTTTCTTGACGAGCATTTGAGATATTAGGCCTTAAGAATTCAAAAGACTTTGAATTTGCATGTGGTATGCACCGGAAAAGCAAGAAGTCTTGCTTTTTCCTAAAGCTTCTAGGAATACCGTGTTGTTTTCTGGGATGTGCTTTCTTTGTTATAATTTTAAAGACATATGCATCCCCTTTCGTGGGGGAGATGGAGCTTGTTTAAGTTTTTAGATAGGTTCAAGTTTGCAGGTGAGAATGTGAAACTGTCGGGGCTAGAGCTTCTGTGGTCCGGGGCCAGCTGGGAGCCGGGCCRCGTTGCCCAAGCCCTTGGCCACGGCTGCTCCGTGCAGCATCTGCCCTGCAGCCCAGGGGTCAGTGCGGAAGGAAGCCCCAAGGAAGCCTCCTGCCCATACAAGTGACTTCAACACGCTTTATTTCTCTCCAGAGTTGAGCTTGTGCATGCTGCTGAGCACAGCGTCTTGGAAGTGATTGAAGCTGGTTGAGGTTGGGAAGATCTGGGGTTTTGTTCTCTGTTGGGTTGGTGTTTTGGTTCTGTTTCTTTTGGTTTGGCCTGCTCTAAGAGTGTTTTGGGAASCACCAGAGACTGGGCAGGCGTTAATGGGTATCACATCTGCCTTCTGTGAAACGTCCTATGGTGGCCTTGGGGGTATAAAGCAAAAAATAACGTGCTGGTGAAGAAGTGATATAAATACATGAGCACGGTAACATGTTTTGGAGCCTTCTATTAGAATAGCAGTGGGGACCTTGATTCCATTTTGGTTTTGAAGAATGAAGCACTAATTGTTGATAATGTACCTCTCTGAATGAGACCAGATTCTGAGATTTTCCTCTTGAACTGCAGTGGATGAGATTGAACTCCTCGATAGTGTTTTATTAGATAGGAAGATAGTATGAGTGATAATAATGAAGCTCAGCAATCTGTCTTCAGCCATGAGAATTTCGCTGAATGGATGAGAAGACATTTTCTAGCCTTTATTCAAAAAAAAAAAAAAAGAGAGAGAAAAGCAAAGAATTCCTGTTCATCTGTTAGCATGAGGACCTTGCTAACAACTTAGTGAGATCTGTCTTGTGGCAGTCTRGAAGCCTAAACATAGCATTTTGTGGCTTGTACGAGAGGAGTGCATGCAAAGCCACCTGGTCTCCCTGCGCCTGGGCTGTGTTCTGTCCGGTGACGTGGGTGAAGTGGCAGGGTGGAGCTGTGCTTGATGGATGTGTTGCTTGAGAAACCTTTCAGTGAGGGAAAGAGCCTTGAGACAGCAAAGATATAAAATAGCAGCTTTCTGGTTTCTCCATCTGCCCAATCAGTTCTCCAAGGCAGGGCACTTAAGTCTGAACATCAGTGTAGAACAGTTAGAAGAACCTTCTCTGAAGAGGTAACTTACAGACTGTTTTTTGTCTTGAGGATTTTGCTGTTTGGAAGAGTCTGTATTTTGTGAAAGGGGAAAAAAAAAAAGGCAGGGTTATGGCTTTACTCTGGCACGTGCTGTGTGTTATTCCATTTTGACAATAACTATCTGTGCTACACTTCTACATTTTATTCTTCCTGCTCCGTCCTCCAGTTCCTTAAAACCTTTCAGCATTGCTTCTTGGGTATTTCCCTTGGCTAGCCAAGGTGAAAATAGGATGTCAAGTACAGGAGCCAGTTGGCTGAATTTCTTTCAATTTCTCAAGTTAGTTGCCTAAAAATATTTTGTTAAAAGCTTTCATATTACCTGACCTTAGAGAAAGAAAAAAGGTAACGTTGATACTTTGGGCAAAAAGTATCTTTTTTTTTTTTCCTGTGACTGAACCCTAAAGCTTTGTGGGTTTCTGTTTATTTGGTGCTTTTTTTGTTTGTTTATAGGAGTCTTACCCCTCTTCATCACCAATATGGTTTGTAGAATCAGATGACCCCAACCTGACTTCGGTCTTGGAGCGTTTAGAAGATATTAAGAAGAGCAATACTCTGGTGAGAAATTCCGGGGGGTTGTTTGGGGTGGTATTTTTTGTTTGTTTTTTGTTTTAGCTTTCTCAAATTAACAATTAAGTGTGTTCAGATTTGGTATTATTTCTAGAGTTTTGTGAACATAAGTTTCTCTTTTGAAAATTCTGTGGATCAAAACTAATCCAAGAGGTTTTGGTCAAAGAGAAGAATGTGACCTGGTTCTCATTGATGTTAAGTTTCAACCCAAAGACTACAATTGCTTAATGCCTTTTGAAAACAGCTGAACAATGATATGTATAAGAATATAAAACTAAATGAAATAGCTCTTCTGGAATGCAGCTAAGTGTTCAGTGTTTTCTTTGCACAGAGACTAACTACTGAGGTAAGAGCTCAGTGTTTTTTGAGAATGTGTATTCTCCAAAACCTGACTATAATGGTAGCTAATCCAAAACAAGAATTCAGGGTTTCAGGAAATGACTTGACCTGATAGCATCTGGTTCTTCTGGATGTTCCTGAAATAGCTGTAAGTTGAAATAGTTCCTGAAACAGTTGTTGTGACTTTGGAGGGTGGCTCTTTGAGGAAAATCTTTGCACAGGTTCTAACAGTAGTTTAGTATTCCAGAAAAGCTTCAGGCTTTATTTCTTACCTGAAAATCTTTTTGATGTGATGATAGGAGTTGTAGAAAAATGTCTCGACTTTCCATTCTGTGCAGAAAAGGAAAAGAGTGTCCTTGAATATTGCTTACAGGAAGATTTCAGTACAAATGTACTTAATGTTAATAGACTGTAAATACTTTTATTTCTAGAAAGGACAAATTCACAGTGGAAAGGACAAATTCACAACGATTCCCTCTAAATTCAGCTTTATGGCCCTTAAAAACTGTTAAGGGTGCAAGAACGTGGGCGCATGAGATGTGTACGAAACAAACATCAGCCTGCAGGATGCTGGCCTTCGTATTTGCTTGTTTTTAGAAAAATGGGGAATGTTCTCTTTGATGAAATCACTTACTGGCAATGTTTAAGGGAACGTTAGTTAAGCATACTGAACCTTAAATAAGTATGCATAAAATTAAACCTGCAAATAATATCCAGGAGACATTTGACCTTTTGGAGAAATGATGAGAAAGCTAATAAGCAACTGGGAAACTTTCATACGCCATAACTATGCACAAACGAGCATTGCAAAAGAGCATTAAGGATTTGATGTCTTCTGTTGGATGTGATTACAGGAGCCGTGCACCTTAGTTTTATATTCTTGCAATCTGAATTTAAACTAAAACATATTAAGAAGAATCGTAAGCTTGTCTCTTGATATTCTTGTGACTCAGAGAGAAGTCATAGGAGAATAGAATGACTGAACATGTGGCCACCTAAACTTTCTTCCAAAATCTTTTTTTCTTTTCTTTTTCTCAGCACCAACAGTGTGTGGCTAGTAGCATCTGTCCCCTTCTCTCACTTTAGATGAGTGCATTAGCTGTGTGGGGTTAACAGGTTTGGTGAAACAAGGTGTTTCCCCCGTGTTTAGCTACCTGCAAGTTTGAGCTGAGAGAAAGCCTTTCTGCAAACATGCGTAGGACTTGCTAGGCAGATTTGCCTGCTCACATGGAGCGCTTATGTATCTGGTAAGAAAATAGCTTCTGGTATCAAGATAGTACTTGCCCTTGTAAAGGCTGATGGGTTGATGTAATAGACACCTGAGCATGGCCCACTGGTGTCTCAGGAAACCACCCCGCAACATGTTAGGCCAAGATGAAGACAGATGGGAGTGGTTGAAGAGACAGATAGTTGCACTATGAAATCTGATGACTTTGTTTTTCTCACAAGGCCTGGATTTGCCCCCCCACCCCCCCGTGAGTTGCTGGAGCAACTCACAATTTTACAGTGTGGTAGAGGAGTGAATGGATGAGTGGAAATGTTTTGCAGCAATTCCTGATAGATCACTAACTCTTAAATGCTGCCTTAAGTCAACTTAGATTTTTAGAAGGTTTCAGACTGTTTTTCATTTGACTTCATTTAAGCAGTCGCTTCCCATGCTGTTCTGAAGTTACTTTGTAAAGTTACTGTGGAACAGCAGAGTTATGACTGCACTCGTGTATTTGGCTATAGACCTTGCTACCTCATTTGGTCCAAGTTGAAGTTGTCTGGTATTTCTGTGTATTTTTTGCTTGTTTTGCGGCTTCTGACAAGTAGTTTGGGAAGCCAAAGAGCCATGCTGCTTAGGTGTAAGTGTTTGACAGAGCTGCATGTAAGGAAGCTTTGTGACTTGACAAGGTGAGAGGAGAGCTGTTTAATCTTGGCTAAAATCCTACACCCTTCAAATAAAAACCTCTTCAAAACACTGAAAATGTTGAAAAGGTCATTGAGTGTTGTCAGTATAGCTAGCACTGATTTCTGTTGGTTTAACTAACTGTTCCTATTGACCATGACGTAAACAGTAGATGCAGGAACAAGGAAGACTCCCATCTGTGGTGCTCCTAAATTCATTTATGAAGTCTGAAAATTAGCATTGCTTTAGTCTTGGTAGATAGCTGATACTGACAGCTGCCTTCTAGTGGTTGTGCCCCGTAGAAGATGTATCCTACTTCTGCTCTGTGTTGCTCTGTTGAGAGGGGAAAAAAAAAAAAAAAAAAAAAGTTATAGTTGCAAGTCCAAAATCTCAAAGCTTACATCATGATCCTAAAACTAACATTGAATGTAACTGTGCATGATTTGAGGTTGTACTTTTTAAATTCAAAATAGTTGGTGATTTTTGTAATTAAAGACCAAATTGAATGAGATCTAGATTGGAAGTTTAGTTCTCCCACTCCTGAAATCTTGAGGGCTTAAATCTGCATCACAGACTTCATCAGAAGTGTAGGATTCTTGGTGCAGCTGTGTCTGCAGCCTGGGGTGCTGCTGTCGCACCCTGCTTCTGGTTTAAGAACTTAGATGAGTTCTGTGTGGTGGCCTTTCAGTGAGGAGTGTTGCAGACTACCAGAACAGGAGCAGCTGGTTGTGTGCCTAGGACCCTAGAGACAAAATGCCAGAAGCAGCTTAGCTTTCCTCTGAAGCTGCACAGGGCTCTGAATGTGCTTGGGACTAGTTACTGTCATGGAATAACTGATAACGGGAGGGCCACGCTGCAAATAACACTCAYTCCTTCCTTCTGCTTCCTCTTGTCTCCCTCTTCAGCCTCAGTGATAGGCTGTGATTTCCTGAATCATATGTCAATACAGACAGGAATGTGTCTGTATTATGGCATTATACTTTAAGACCATATTTCTTAGTAATTTGAGGACAAGCTTCTTCATAGTGAGCCCTGCAATAATATTAAAGGTATTCAAAAACTATTAATGCTTTCATACTGCTTTAGAAAGAGCTCTCAGCACATAAAAAGGCAGCCTGACGTGGGACAGGTTTCAGAACAAGTGTCTGCTGATTTGTAAGACGCTAATACAGAAACCGAAAAAGAGCCAAGAGACACTTTGATGTTCTAAAATGGCATTTGGTATCCCTAAAAACAACCACCTTTTCAGAACAACTGAGGAGAGTTAATAACTATTAAAAATAACAACAAAACAATGTAATTATGTTATTTTAATTGTATTTGGTTGCTTGAGCATTATTATTAATCACCCAGAGTGTTTCTAGTCTTGCTGTAATATCCTGTGGACTGCACACAGTATTTTCAGTTTAGCTTCTGCCCTAGACAGTCTGTGTTCCAGAGAAGCAGTTATGGGCTGATAGGCCCCTCTTGTTTGGTCTCCTTCGTGGTGGTTTTGGTGCTYGGGTGTTCAGCCCCATGAGCGAATGAACAACCTGTCCAGAAACCTGCGCGTTGCTGCTTTAGTTCTCAGCGGGTTCTTCATGCCACCCCGCTTCTCACATGGCTCTGGGCTTGTCGGTACCAGCACCAACAAAGAGGGTTAAGAATTCTCCTCCTAGCCCTTACTCTTGTGTTGGAGAGGTCTAATATCTGTTTTCCCAAGTTTTGAACCAAAGAATATTACCAGCCAGAGGTAGTATTTTTCTCACTTAGCTTCCTCCCCCCATGTGTGCCTTGCAATAAAAGGAAACTGTCATAGCTCATCTAGCTTAATACAACTGTGTGGAAAAAGAAATGAGGATTTTTTTTTCCCCTCCTCTCCTCAAGCTGTCTTTGAGGAAGTGATGTCTGGCTAGGGAATAAAAGTTTCTCAACAAAATACATAGTAGTAACCTTAGGTATTTCAAACGTATTGAGAATAATAGCATTAAACCCTGTGGACCTAACTGGGAAGTGTTTTTTGATTAGTTCTTTTACCGGCTCTCTTCCCACTAAAAGGTTTCCTGGCAATTCAGAAGTTTCAAACAGCTTTAGATTCCTAACACCAATGAGGGATGTGATGGTTACAGGAGGCTTATGGCAACATCAGCTATCGCCTCTCGTGTAGCTACTCACAAGAAATGTGATGCTGATGCATCAGTTCTTTGGGTGACATCTGCTGAATTTGTGAGTTAAGGATGACTTTTATGAGTGATGCAAAACCGGAAAATGTGACAAGACACAAAAAATTCGTAGCTGTTTTTACTTTTGCAGGCTGCTATGTCAGTTCATGGCATCTGATGAATAAACGAGATTCCTATTAAATAGGAATGCTGAAATCCGCAGGAGAATAGAAAAGCACAGAAATATTCAAATATACACACACACAGATCACAGAGTAGTGCAGAGGCATTACTCTTCCAAGGGGACGCGCTCCGTGCTGTACCCCGGCTGAGTCGACGTTGCCGGCGTCTCCCTCCTTCACGGAGAGGAGAGGTGGCTCYGCGAGCCGACGACGGCTCCGCGAGCGGCGCCGCCTCGGGAAGCCGCGGGGCGGGAAGCGAAGTCCGCAGCTGAGTGAGCGGCGTCTTTCGCAAGGCTCCTGGCGGCCTCTTGGGCAAGAGTTAGTGCTGATCGCTTCGCAAATGTAACCTGCAGTCCTGTCTCTGCTCTCCTGACACGCTGATGTGAAAGCTGTGAGAAGTTAGGAAATGCTCGTGTGGTCTTCCGTGGCCTTGGCTTTAACCAGGAATGGGAAGGCTGCCTGGAGCTTTGGGATGTTAGCAGCTATGRAAATCGGCACAGTTAGTGTGGGACCAGGAAGCAAGCTCAACACTTGCTTCTGCAGCACTAAGCTTACTGTCTGGATAGCAGGAGAGTGAGTAAAAGCTGTGCCCTAACTTGCATTTAACAGAACTCAGTCAACAGTGGAAAGAGGAAGCGGTGATGGTAACTGTACATAAATCTCACCCAGACAGCACAAGCAGATGACCTGGGCTCTAGCTCAGAAACTGCCTAGCTCTGTCTTGTGCAGTGTCAGCATTGCTTCTGGTGATTCCCCTGGTGTTTCCTRGGGAGGAATGTGGGACATGGGTGTTCCTCCCAGGTTTTGGAAGTCCTCGTGCTTTGAGATGGGGAGTTGGATGGGCAGACTTGAGCCCAGAGACAACATCATGGGCAYTTGTTAGTGTTCTGTGGCTCTGAGTCCTGTGACTGCAACGGATGGTGCAGCCCCAGGAAACTCCTCTTTAGCTCCTGACCTTCCTCAATTGATACCGACAAGTAAATGGAAGCAATTGTAGGACCTSTCACCTTCTGGGCTGGCCAGTATGGGGATTTTAGCAAGGAGGTTTTTAACAGTGAGCATGGAGGAATCAAGGGATATCTGGAAATGCAAGTTCAGTATTAACACGTAGAGAAACATCAAAATACATTGCTGACTCCGTGCTTTCGTTTATGTAGGCATTTTCCTCTTTCTTTTATAGCTTCTTCAACAGCTGAAGCGATTAATATGTGACCTCTGCAGATTATATAATCTTCCTCAGCATCCAGATGTTGAAATGTTAGATCAGCCATTGCCAGCTGGACAGGTAAATTTAAAAAGCTGTGGGCACCTGCTTATGGAAACAAAATCCTGCTCAACTCTGACTAACTAGATGGTGATAAAGATGAAAATCTGTGTAAGCTAGTGCTGAGATATGAAGCACTGTTACTTTGCAGTAGGTCCTTTGTCTGCTGTAGAGTCCACTTTAATGAGAGGATATTGCACAATTTCCTTTAAAGTTTGTTTTTTATGATTGAAGGGGTGTGTGTGTGTGTGTGTGTGTATGTATAAAAATATATGAAGTGACACACCATTGATCATTTTAACCCTCACCTAAAATCTGCTCAAGATGCCTGCTTTGCATTCTTGGTGCTTTTCAAAATGCCTTTTTTGCTTAAATATTCCTTGCTTCTTCTTGAAGAGTTTACATTTTACAGTGTGCACTTGAATGACCCTTTTATATTTTCTTTCACTCCCTTGTAAAGATGTGGGATATCACAACCATATGCTGCACTTTTTTTTTTSATAAGAGTTGTCTGAGGTGCCTTGTACTTTTCATGCACGTGATAAATTAAATGTTGTGATGGGCTGCTAAATATTCTTGTTAATGAGTGTTTTGTGTTGTGCTGCAAACCAAACTGTTAGCTAATAGTCAGCATGTTTTTATTTGTAATAGGATTATGGAACCTTTTTTACTTGCACGTGTTAAGATGACATTTCTAAAAACTCCTGTAGCGTAGCAGATGGTTTTCCTGTGGTGACAGCAATATAGCAATGACAAATAACTTAATTTTGGTCACATGCCAAACTGTAATCCTATAGCTTTTCTTTCTCAGCCACCCACCCACGTGGCAGTGCAACCATGAGGCCATAGGCCTGTAACACTAGGAGGTAGCTTTGCYAGGAGTCCTGCCTGTGCTCGAAGACTCATGGAAGGTTATCTTAGCCAAAAACCTCASATAGTTGGTGGGTTAAACAACAGTGACCTTACTTCTTTGAGCCAAAGATCCATCTAATCCCTCTGCCATGTCAGGCTTCCCGAAGGAGAAATTTTAGCAGAGGACAAGCATTATCATAATAATTTTGAGTAATTCTGCAGCTCAGACTTTGAGCTTGAAGTTATGTTCTGAAATGGAAAATTATGAAAAGTGCACTCCATGTATTTTAATTTTTCATTAAATAATCTAATTGAAATGGCTATAGAAGTGAGTTGTTCCCCAGAAGTTCTACGTAGTTGATCCAAGGATCTGTTAATTTCCAGAGGTCCAAATAATGTGAATAGGGTTTCTATCCAGAATCTATTCTGGATTCTATTCAGAGCTTTGATCTGATTTYGTGAATAAGTTATCATGAGCTACAACCCACTTGACTTATTCATTACATTTGTCACTGCTGTCTCAAAATAGGATACCCTTAGCCAATTCTTTAAGTTTTCGTTTGGATCTTACTGTGAAATGAATTGAGGCATTTTATTCGTCTTATTTTCATGCTGATGTCTCGTCACTGACATGCTTCAGGAAAGCACCTTTRTGCATGATCCTTCACCAAAAACTTTTGGGCCATTTTTTGCAGTCCTTTGTAGACTTTGATTAAATACAACTTTCCTGTGTAGTGCTTATTCTTTGATAGCAGACTCCCTGTTTTTGAAGGACGGGAATGCAGAGGCAATTTATGCTGAAACTTCAATTGTTATATTCCAGAATGGAACAACAGAAGAAGTTACCTCAGAAGAGGAGGAAGAAGAAGATATGGGTGAAGTATGTATACATAATCAGAATTTTCATCATGCTGTCCTTTTGTTTTGTGGTTGTTGTCTGATTATTCAGCCAACGTATAAAATGCAGTCACCCCAAACTTCAATGGAAAAGAAAATTCAAAATTTCTGTATCATATTTGTGAAGGTGATATTGGCATATCACCTTTTATTTCAACCACACAAACCTGTGACATATTTTTCTGAAACCTAGGTCTCAGCATGTAAAGAACCTCCATGTAGAGACTGGGACAWCTGTTCACAGTTTAAGTTGAACAACATATAACATTCTATGCCAAATCAGTAGGCCTGCAAACTTCTATTTCAAGCAGCATATGAACTGACTTTGCAGTTGAAAGTGCCTCCCAGGTGAACCAGTCTGGTTGAGAGTAAATTAGATTGCTGATTTATTAAACAGCTGAAGTTTATCTATAATATATTGAAGGAAATGAGAGGTTATCTGCAGCTGACATGCTAAGCTACAGGGCTTATGTCAGTGTCTGGCAACATGATGCTCCTTTTAATGAGCTCTTTGCTGCCTGGGAACCACCCCCTTTAATTACTTCTACAGCATTCTAGAATAGGTACAAGAAATGCTGGCTTTTTAAACCACAGTAAACAACTTTATTGTGTAAGAACTGTTCTCGCTACCTCAGGTTTACATTTGTAATAAATAAATAAATATGTAGAAAGAATGAAAAACAACTTCTCTTGTGAATAGGAAGAGTACAGATCTTCCTTCAGGAAATATCTAAATGTTACCTGTGCAGTGGAATGACTGTAAAGCAGCTTCCCTCAGACTATATTTAGCCTAAGCTGGACAGCATTTATTAGAGTCATAGTTTCTGTAAAGGTAGCGTGAACACTTCTCCGCACTGTTGCCACAAGACCATTTTTGCTGCTGACTTTTAAGCATCCCTTTGCACTCTGTTTGGGTAACTTCAGAAGGAAAATTGTCTTTGCTTATGTCAAGAAGCCCTTTGTGGTACTGTTCCCTTCAGCTTTTAATCTAGTCCAATTTCTAAATAAAAAAGTAATTTATTCCTAAGACTAGGTCACTGCTTTGAGAAACAGGCATGTTTGAAAAACAAACAAGCAAAACCAAACAAACTACTACCACCAACAAAAAATAAAACACTATCTAAAACATGCTARGGTTAGGGAAAAGTGGCTGCCAAATGCTCTAAGTGTGCTTGATTCTGTGCAAGACATGCTGGAATTTGTGTTTATGGCCAGGTTTTCCTGCCATGCAAGCAGATGGTGCAGTGCACCAGAGCACCTGGTGTGTTAGAGCAYGCTGCAGTGTGTCTGGTAGCTGTGTGTGTATGGGCTGCTGGCCTGGCTGCTGCAGGGCCACCTTTTTCAGCTTTCCCTCCTCTCCATAAATAGCATTTGTCTCACCTTAAAGCTGTTGTCTTAACCTCACAGCACTCCCCCGCAATAGGATTGTCCTTGTGGCAGAACTCACCAAGAACAGAAGATTTTTCTCTTAGCCTAGACCTCAAAATTGATGCCATGAATGTGGGTCTCATCTGTAAGGCTCCCTATGTTTTCAGTGAATGCTGCTGTCTGAAAGAGTAAATTTTGAACAAAACTGAAATGTCCAACAATCACTAATAGCTAGTGCTTTGCACTGAGGTGACTGTGTCCCTCAATGCCTTTGCAGAGAGCTTTCTGAGCAAAGAACATGSTTAAATTGCTTACGGTGAATTCTCTCCTGCAGGACATTGAAGATCTGGATCACTATGATATGAAGGAAGAAGAACCAGTCGATGGGAAGAAATCTGAGGATGAAGGCATTGAAAAGGAGAACCTTGAAATCTTAGAAAAAATCAGAAAAAATCAACGGCAAGATCACTTAAATGTGAGTTGTTTTCTTCTTTTCTTTGCAATTCTTCTCATCTTAAAGTAGGAACGGGTTCCAGCAAATAAACCTGTTCACAGGCATGTTTGTATGTATGCTGCCTTCCAGCATATATAGGACAAAAGCACCAAGTTATGGGACATAGTTTGCTCTGGAGAAATCTTGTTAGGCCAGCAAGAACAGAAAGTTGCATCAGCAMGTGGAGTAACTTTTCAAAAAGCCTTCGCAAAGGAAGCTAGGTGCCAGGCCACATCCCACAGAGGCACAATAGCTAAGCACTCCTTCATTTCACTTGGGGCAGGCTACCTGGTCTTCCSTTGCTTGGTACCTGTGTTGGACAGTAGTCCTCTCTGCAGAATTGGCAGCTAGGTCCTAAGCATGACTTTGGCTCAGCTGCTACTAAATTAGCAAATATGTGTATATATAGTGACACACACATATATAGTGACCATGGCATGAGAAGCATTAGCATCAGAAGTCACAGGTGACCTAGCATGTTTGGTAAATCCAGGAATTTGCACTTTAAAACTGTTCTTGTGTATGACTTTTTTCCAGAATATCTATGAAACTACAGAAATTGTTTTGCCAAACATAGCGAGAGACTTTCATCCTTCTGCAGCTTTGCTACCAGTGTTAGAGTATTTCTGCCAGTGGAAATAAGAAATTTCTATATGGCTGTGTCCTGGAGACATTTGTTTTCATTTTTGTATTAATATACAGCTATAAACACTGGGCCCCGTGACTTCTGTTTGTCCTCTAGCTTTGTTAGTTCCACTTTGTATGCTTGATGATTTATTAGGTTGTGTGAAAAAGCATATAATCTGTCATCAGCMATCCAATATTTAAAAACAGGAAAGCATAAGTAAATTGTTTTTGTTGCGTAACATTGTTTTAAGATTTGCCATAYGTAGAAGGTACTGCTTTAAACTTAAATGTTTGTTCAGAGAAGCYTGTTGAGATTGTATATATTTCTGTATTTACAACCCAGACCTAATGGCTAAAACTTCTTAATAACTAAACAAAATAAAACCTCTTGCAGCCTGAAAACCATGGCCTGCTTACCGTCATCTAAAAATTCAGTGGAACTGGAAAAGCGTTTTGTGATGTCAACAGCATTCTGTGGTGTTGAAAGCCTCTTAAAGCTGCAGATTTTCTCCCCTTYGCTGTTCTTTCGTACTTGGCAAACTGGCCTTTCTCTTGCTTTTTTGCTCCGCGTCTAGCAGAGCTGAAATGAACACTGTTGGGTTTTGTTTGACAGCAGCAGATCCAACTTACATAATAGCTGTTCCTCATGCCAAGACACTCTTGTTGATGCTGATGCATAAACAAGGTCAGCTGAGTGCAGGGAACAGGGTATTCAGCTGCTGCTGAGGAACCATGGTATTTTTGTTGGTCACCAGAAATAGCTGCTTTGGTTATATAAATCCTCACAAGTCCTTTGAGAAATTCCTCTTTTAGTACTTGAGTGCTGAAAGCTATAGTTGCACTACTGACCCAGTAAAGAACAAACCTAGTAACACTTAAAYGCACCCTTCTGCTGCCAGAGCATGGGATCCTGCACAGAAACCTGGCTCTGTTTCGGCTGCTCCATATCTTAAGATAAAACAGTGTCTAAATTTGTTCCTTGGCAGTGGGTTTCCTGAAAGGACTGTGAGTCTGACAAACTGCAGCGTGCTGTGGAAGCAGCCTCTCGGTTTCACACCTTGCCAGTCTTTGGTGCACTTTGTTTCCTCAGCAGGGAATGTAAAGCAAAACCAGGCCACGTGTGTGCTGCAGGAGGGAACGTGAGGTCTAACACAGGGCTTCAACTGATGCCTCATGAAACCAGGAAACTTTCCAGTGTTCCCTAGCCCTTGTCTGTGGGTCATCCTTTCTCTCCTTGGCAAAAACGTAGCTTGAAGATGTTGCTCATGTTGCAGATCTTAGCACAGAAGAGGAGTGCATAAAATCCTTTTTTTTTTTTTTTTTTTGCATATTCTATCAGTATTTTTCTGCAGCAGATGTTTTTCTGCTGTTTGAGTTTTTGTTCATATACATTTTTAGTTTTTTCTCTTACAGGAAGAGAATGTATCTGCTAACTTTGTAATTAAGTTTTCTTCATTAGCAGTATCCCTAATCTTTTTCTCCTTACTAGCATTAGGAAATAGCCTTAAATTTGGCATGCAGTGTGATATATAACTTGGAGCGGGAATTAATCGTCCTCTTGACATTGTAATAAGTTTATGGAGCCATTTGCTTACTGTGGAGAAAGGTCTTTGAACTTGAATCATTAACTTCAAATATTTAACAACTTGCTGCTGCTTGCTTCTCTGAGGTTTCTCCTCACTTAGTCATTTTAGAGATTAATGATTTTCTTATTTAGGTAATGCTGTTAGCTCTCGTACTTCCACCTGAGGAGTTTATACGCTTTTCTTCAGGAGTCTCAAATGTCTCTGTTCTASTCTTTTAGATTTTTTTATGAAGTTTAAGGTGCCCCTTGGGTTTTTCTGACACTACTTTAACCTTCAGGAATGAATGCACTTCTGCACAAATACTGAAAATGTTAACTCTATTATCACTTAACTTGTCTTACTTCTGGTTCTCTTTGGGTTACTTTAGGTTTTGTTGTGCACAGAAAGAATAGAAACAGGAACTAGAAAACGTTGAGCCATTTTCAGGTCTCTGGAGACTTAGTGCAGTAGCTTGTGCAGTGACACATGCTGTGGTCATTGCTGCATGGTTAGTTTTCTTACTGTCTTATGAATGTAGAAGCTCGAATTGTAAACAACTTCTAAGAAAACTATGATTTAACTGTACAAAACTATGATTGAACTGTGCAATGAAGTATTCATAYACATTCTAATGTTTGCACTAAAATACAGATGTAAGGATAAAAAATACTTCTGAAGAATGTAATGCTYATACTAACTTGAACCAAAAGTTGTTTCCTGCTTCTGTCAGTGCTAAGAGCAGATCCAAAAGAGGAAGACTTGGGAACAGGACAAGCTTGTAATGATGCATCTCCTAAGTATATCTCAAGGCCGACGGTGTGTAGAGCTCTGGGACTTCCCGAGTTGCGTGTTTATGTGCAGCCCCTGGCTGGAGTGCTGTCCACACAGGCRCCAGCTCCTGCAGCAAGGACGTCCCTGCTGAGGGCCACGTTGTTAGGAGCGAGCACCCCAGTCACAGGACGTCCGCACTCACTTGGTCGCTGTACGGGAGAGCTCTGGGATCTTGGGTGGCAGCTCCTTGAAACCCGGCAGCTTGCAGACTGAGCGACCACAGTTTGCTGTTCTTGCCTCTTGGCATCGGCCACACGTAGCAGATAGCTCTCATATCTCAGCATTGGCCCGTTTTGTTTCTGAGGCAACTGTGGTCGTAAATCTTCGAGATTATAACTTGTATTTAGAAGGTTCTTGGAAGTTAATGTTTTTAATTTTGGTACTGTTAGACAAAACTAAGGTCCCTGCTCTACTGTGTCATACTGTGGCGCGTGATCCATATAGAACTTTTCTTCTACACAGCTCTTTAACTATAAAATACTAAAGTTTTGTCATAATGGAGATGGCTTCAAAGATGTGGAACAGTGCCTTCAAGATACTGATATCTTGCAATGCAAATAAAGCTGCATGATATGAATATTTCCACTTATTCAGAATATTGTTTGTTTCAGGGTGCAGTCTCTGGGTCCGTTCAGGCTTCAGATCGACTTATGAAAGAACTCAGGGATATATATAGATCACAGAGTTATAAAACAGGTAAAGTTCTTGAAATATTCCTTCTTAATATAGTTTAAAAGTTATCTTGGTAAGTATTTTCTGCTAATCCTTCTGTGTTCTGTAAGTGTATGCACATAATGTGTATATGTGTGTATGCATGTTTCACTAAATGAAGCAATGTATTTGCAGAGGAAAAAAGCAAGGCAGGAGGCATTTCTTCTAGCATGTTCTTATCTCTTGTTATATGAAGCTTCATGCCCAAATTAGCAAGATTGGAGTGACGACRAGAACGCTTTTGGTGTAGATGACTCCTAGCAGCACTACGTGACTGCTGTGGGAGTTCCTGAGCCCTGGGAACTGCTCGAATTCGCTTCTCCAGGTGTCTAGGGCACAATCTTTGAGACGGTCCCAGAGGGCAGTACTGCTTGCAAAGAACACGTTAGCTGCAGAAGGGTTTGTGTTCAACAGTAGGAGGTTTTGTTATCATGAARAAAAAGCCTCAAGTATACTGCCCTCACTTTATTCTTTTGTGATCGTGCTGGTCTGGCCCCAAGCTCCATATATTCTTTGGATACAAACACAGGAGAAAGTAAGCAGCGGTGAGAGCTTAAGCTTGTCTGTTAAGCTTGGTTTTGTTTGAATAGCAAGCACTCATGGCTTTTTGTTGGTTAGTTTAATGAGGTTTTCTCAGTCGGCTGGCTGGCTTATTTGCTGTGTACAGTGGCTCAGTCTAAACCTTCTTAAAATATTTGGCATATTGATTTGTTTGAGAATTACTGTATAACATGTAGAAGTTTGCATAGATTTCATGCAGTCGTGTTCCTGTAGGTCAGCCCCATMGCCTAACCCATCGCTGTACCCAGAGGTGAGAACTTCCTCACGCAGGTCAGGGTGGGAGCTGGGAGACTGGTTAGAAAATCAGGTTAAACTTCAGTGTTGTATCCTGTGCTTTTCTGAACTGCTCCTCTAGTTTGTTTCTAGAGGTCTTAAATCGTGTTTGTGGGCTATGGTATTTTCATTTGTGTTTAAAAGGACAGAGTTGTGTGTATCATTTATACCTTTACCTTTGTGTACCTTTGGTTATAGGTACCAAAGACATAGTTCTAATAGACCACTTTTCCATCCTTTTGGGATGTAGATGGAAGAAAATACTCTGAGTACAATAGGGGACCAGATTCCTCATTAATTTTGTTGACCGTGAGCAAGAGTTCTGAGTGCCAGCTCTTTGGTTACACCAGAGCAGTGAAAATTGAAATTTTATACTTGATTTCCACTTACACTAAGGGCAACATCCTTAGATATAGGGAATTGAAATGAGGCCTCAATAGTGCCTTCTGCTTATCCTCAGGCAAATGTGTGGTGCCTCTGAACTAGCTACTGATTAAAATGGGACATTGAGAGCACAGTGAGTAGATTTGGGGTTCTCCTTGATTGTCCTGGGGTTAGAGGGAGACATTTGAAATCGTCGTCTTGGCTGCAGGACCCGCTTGTCTGTGTCTCTGGTAGAGACACAAACATGTTTTCTTTACCTTGATTACTGATTTTTATACTTTTCTAGAATTAAAAGCATCTGGACATCTTGAAATTGTATTAAAAGTATCAGCGCTAAAGTTAGAAGCGTAAGATGAATACCTTTTACAATACCCRTGACTCCTTGGAGATCTCTGTGCCTGAGCTGTCTTTTCGGTTTGTGGCCTTCAGAAAACCTAGTCTCTTCCAACTTGCTTATAATCAATTCAGCAACAAATATGCTATTAAAAACTAGCCCAGGTAACAAATGTAATCAAGGCCATTGAGTGTGTATGTGCATGAATAGTGTGAGAGAGAGGCCAAATTTCTGCCTATTGCTCTTTCTAAATATTTTCTTATGGTAAAAGATCTGCTTTATCCTGGGCTGCTTTGTGAACTCCTGCAGAGGACAAACTTGCATGTCCAAGGAAAATGGCAGAGAATTGTTCACCCTTCCCCTTGGGAATGTTCTTCATCCACTACAATCTCTCTTCTGTTTCCACTCCTTACCCTGTGTGCTGTCCTGTGTGGGTCTGCAGCCGCCGAATGCAACCTGTGAAATCCAACACTGCTTACTTGCACTGTGTGTTAAGTGTTTTTTTAAGTATGTGGGTCACGCATCGGATATCAGCTAAACTGAGCAAGATGGAGTTAAAAATATGGAAAGTGACAGGAACTGAGGAGCAACATCCACTGACTCGCGTGGTTTTTTTTTTTTTTTTTTTACAGGAGTTAAATTCTGTATGTTTTCTGTGCTAAAGTTTGTGCTAAATTCTACTTCTCTTAAAAGTTAGTGTGTAACTAATTCTTTGTTTTCCACAGGGATTTATTCAGTAGAACTGGTGAATGACAGCTTGTATGAGTGGCACGTTAAGCTTTTAAAGTAAGTTTTTAAACTCCTCTGATGTGCTGAAGAATACATGTTACTGTTGCTGCAGAGATTTTATTGTTAGTGAAATCTCTAACCAGAGCATTTAAAATGGARTGTGTGGCTACAAGTCCTGCATTTCTGGTATCAGATGCATACAAGGCTTGAGTGATTGACTTCTAGTAATAGGGAGGGGAAAAAATAACCTCTATGCACAGCCAAGTTGGTGTGTATCCCTACCTCTGATTACTGTACAAGTCTGCTTCCAAAACTGCTGCAAAATACAGAACTCTAATGATGAGATTCCCTGCTTAGGCCACACTTCTGTAGCAGTGTTTAAACTTGTGCAGTGCTTTGAAACCTCCCTGAAACACTGCGGACAGCTCTGAGCATCTACCCTAAAGAAAGAGAAAGCCAAGTTTTCTTGGTGGCTTCCAGAACAACTGAGAGAAGAAAAGGTTGCTTTTATCCCAGCAAAAAATGTCTGAAGTGAATGAACTGTATGCAGACAAGGGGGTAAATGTCTAGAAGACACAGAGCCTTTTTGCCTTAGGGACAGTATTGTTACTAGAGCAAGTAACTCTGAGCTGGCCTGGTCTAAGCTTTGCTTGGAAGGAGTGGGCATGCAAGTGTCAGGAAGTTATTTTGCTGGAGTAGTTTTCCATTTGCCAGATAGGATCAAACTGCCCAAGTTGTTCTGAAATGGGATCCAGCAAATCTGTGGCTCTCTCTGTAGTATAGGACTGAATTTAAGAGGCGTCAGCCCCTTTTAAGATCTGCTTTGAGCTTGCTACAGCTGTTGTTTGGCTGCTGCTCTTGCAAAGCTGCTGCGTGTCGGTGCTGGGTGGGATCAAGGCAGGAGCTCTCAGCCGAGAGCCGGGCTGTTTGCCATCAACCTTTTGTAACAAGCAATTGTTGGAATTCTGCTGAGTGCAGGAGCTGTGGCTGCAGTACTGCTGCAGAGGCAGATTCTTTTATACAGCTAGTATAGAGSTGCGATCACATGCCCTATAATGGATTTACTACCTGTATAGTGAAAATCAGAACACTTCAGTCGTCCTGTTAATAATCTTATTTTTATCCCTCCCTTCTTGGAATGCATTTCTGGTGAACTGAAGAGAATACAATTATTGTTTTCAATTAAGTATGTCTTTTTTCCCTAAGAACRTTCAAAAGCCATTTGGTAGTGGTGGGAATGCAGTGTTTTGCAGCAAACTTTAATGKTGATTTCACAGCAGAGTGTTTACTTTGTAATGTGAGCATTAAYTTTCTGAAAGTGCAGATACCTACAGAAGCTCTTTAATTACTGCTCTACAAAAACTGCAGTTAATGTCATTCATTATCTTTCCCTGCTTCTTTTCTAGAGTTGATCCTGACAGCCCATTGCATAGTGATCTTCAGGTCTTAAAAGAAAAAGAAGGTGTAGAATACATCTTACTCAACTTCTCTTTTAAGGTATGTGGCTGTTAGAGGAAATACAGGGATAAAACATTCCTAGTTTACTGTAGAACATGATTGAAGTGACCCTCAGCTGTTCATTGAGAAAGATGAAGGTGGACTTTGAAAACATAAAACAAAACAAGCAGCTTTGTGTGGCATTGGAGGCAGTACTATRGAAAAGTGATTTTTGCAGAGCTGAAAAGTGTTATTGCTTTAAGTCTTACCTGCCAAATAAGCCCTTTGAAATATCCCCTGCATAGGAAAACAGTGTTACAATATAGTTCTTAACCTATGTTTGTTATCCTTTCCAGGATAACTTCCCTTTTGATCCTCCCTTTGTGCGAGTGGTATCTCCTGTGCTCACAGGAGGGTAAGTTTGGGTTTTACAGAAACTTTGCTTTGTGGGGAAAATGTTACAACTGAGATTAAATTCACTTTCCAAGGCTTTTGTTTACCTCTTGCTGATCAGGAATTATCAACCTTTTGTGTCTGAAAATGCAGGCTGCGATAGCTGGTGCTGATTCCAATTAATTTTTGTTCATTTTTTTCATTCAAGAAAAAGTGCAGTTAAATTGTATTCATGATACCTGTTGCTACCAAAAAAAAGTAAACAAGCAGTGCCAGATACTGGGAAGACCATATTTTTATTTCTGGTTTTATTCTGATTTGACTTTTTTGTACAATTCTGCTGGGGAAAATGAATGGTGTAGGAGCTTTAGGCATTAGTGCTGGTTTGCCTGTGAATGATGTGTGCAGTTCTACCCTGCACGAAGACAACATTTCCAGAGTGGTATATTTTCTCCTTGAAGTTCAGGTCTTGATACCTACTCATGCTGATGAAATCCTTGGAAAGCACAATACACAAAGCATTACAGAAATTAGAAAACTGTCTTCACTTGATCTGTTCATATAAACCATCTGCTTTACTTCATTTCTCCATATTTTTGATATATAGACACCCAAACTCATTGGAATTGTGTTAAATCATTTTCCAAAAGTGGGGTTATCTTGCAACAACATATCAGTACTGCATCTGTAGAGAAGCCACTAAAAACAGTGGTCCTGTCCACAGTCTGCACAGTTGTATAAACAGCTGTGCAGACTAGCAAGTCACTGTTTTTTTTTCCACTAAGTTTTTCTTGCAGCTAGCAAAGCAAATTAGCTTTGTGATACAAGAGAAACTAACCTACTTCGCAGAAATGTGTATGTCTAATAAGTTACAATATGTTGCTCTTCAAAGAGCGATTCACCTTTGTGAGCAGAAAAACTAAGCTATGAAAGCCTGTGCATGTCCATGTTAAACAACTGTAATTAACTTTGTGCATTTATTTCTAGGTACGTGCTAGGTGGAGGTGCGTTATGTATGGAACTTCTTACCAAACAGGTGAATGCAGACTCTCTTCCTCTTGTTACTGGAGTGCCAAGAGTGATCATGAAAGGTGCACTGTTTTAGTAAAAAGATACTTGACAGTTTTTATCAGAATAATAACAAATCATGCTCTAAAATAATGACAATAAGCTCCTTCCCCCTCCCCTTGAATTTAGGAATCTCTGCATGGATTAAATCACGTACTTCAATGAAAGCATGGTGTAATACACCTTAGTCCCACAAAATTTGCCTTGTTGAATTTAACAAGATTTTCATCTTGTCTGCCTTGAATGGGTTACAATAATTTGAGGAAGAGGCTAGACATAAGAGTACCTCAGTTATCATTTTTTTTTTCAGAGCTTCTTAAATGAAGCCAATGTAGAAGAGACATCCTTTGAGTCTTGAGGAGCAAGACATTCTCTTTTCTTTTCCAGAAGCTGCTGCTACTGCACTGTCAGTTCTGGAGAAGTGTGAAATGTAGGAGACTGTAGGTCTATGTAACTTTTGAATAGCCAGTGATTGTTGCCTCTTTAATCTTTTGAATGATCAAACTTGTTGCAAGCTTGGCAGAAACTTCTGTGACCCTGCAAGGTGGAATAATGTCAGAGAGAAGTAGTATCCTAAAGCAAAACCATCTTGGTTCACTTCATTTCTGGTGCTTCACTAGAAAGCTGCTTTCTAAAGTTGTCGTTTCTGTTGTGAGATTAATTGAAGATATCTAGATGCTATAATGTGGTTGTTCTTGTTTCTTTCTTGCTGTATGCTGAGTGTGTGTACGACTTGGCCTATTTCTTCCTACAAATTCCTAGTGTGTACACTCACACTTTTCTCTTGGAAATAGCRGTTACTAACTGAAAAAAAGTAGCTAAAAGCATAGCAAAAATATAATAATGTTTTCTCTGGTGGCAAAAAAAATCTCCCAAACATACACCCTAAACAATGTGCAAGATGCAAATACATATTAGATAGAAGTATTYCCTTCTTCCTGCAGGGCTGGAGCAGTGCCTATTCAATAGAGTCGGTCATCATGCAGATCAATGCCACTTTAGTCAAAGGAAAAGCCAGAGTACAGTTTGGAGCCAACAAGGTAAATATGCTGTGTACGTCACTTAAATGAATTTCTGTTGGGTTTCCATTTCTTTGACTTGGGTGGAGTAGTCTTAAGGACAGAAGTGTAAATGCGTGTGTGTGTGTGTGTATAAAATATATATATATATATATAAGAATTTTGCTTGCCTTAGAATAGATAATTTGCAGTTATGAGTTTGCTAAATGATGAACAGGTGAGGAACAGAAGCTCTTAGGCTAGGCAGAGTCTTGTGAGTAGATTTGTACCATCCCCCTGTTCGTCATGTCGCCTTTTCCCTGTAATCTTGTTCTCTGTGTCAGGCTTCAGGATCTTTGTCTTTCTGATTCCCTTAAGGAATTAAGGCTCTTCAGTCTGACCTGACACAATTCCAAATCATGCTGTGGTTTTTAAAGAGAGTTTAGGAATTCTGGATCTCTGAGCAGAGCTGCAGATAAGAGCCTCACTGCTGTGATTGCATACACTGATATTAAGAAGTTCTCATTTTGCCAGACTGTACACTTAATATCTTACAAAAAGATGGAAAAATAACACCATGCAAATACTTCTGGGTCAGCTACTCAGCATTAGTCTTAAACATAACTGGCTTCCAAATGTGCATACTGGTAATGTACTTAATGTACTTAAAGGACAACTTTAAAGTGTTAGATGCTGTTCTCAGATGAGGTTTAAATATTTTTAAGCCCAAGAAACTGTGACTCAGGTGCTAATTTCTAGATAGTGATTCTAGGTAGAGAAGATGGAATACGAGTGTGATGCATAATTCTGACTTTGCTATTGAAATTATCACTGTACACTTGGTTTAAGTATTTTATAATCACATTTTCCTCTAGCCTGGTAAATGATCAGCTGAGCAACACACTTTGGGCTTATCTCTGGTTCTGAACCCTCTGAAAGAGGGGCCTTTCCMACAGCAGGGGTATATGATTTATTATCATTATGATGGAGGAGAAATGAGCAGATAAAGCTATTGTCTTTTTTTTCCTTTCAGAATCAATATAATCTAGCAAGAGCACAGCAGTCCTATAAGTCACTAGTACAAATACATGAGAAAAATGGTAAGTATGTTCTCGCAACTTTTGCTTTTTGAGTGTAGAACAGCCTGGAATTTGATATTTGATAGCAGTAAAACTTAAAGTGCTAGAATGTCCTCATGTTGGCTCGGAAAAAAACATTTTTATTTTCATATCGTACTAGGAAAACAAAACTACCTAAAGCAATAGGACCGGCAACCTGTGATATTTTTTTTTTTTTTTTCCAGTTTATAAGAGTGTAGGCTGTGTTCATACTGTCTCTTGAAAGGTAGTTGAATTTTAATTTTGACTCAGTTGTCCTAATAAATTTAGTGTTRTTTAGCTAACAAATAAGTACTTCAAGATATAGTACCTCCTGGGAGCTTGCCTGCCCCTGTCCAAAAAGGTGCTATCCAAATAATGCAAGAGCAAAGTGACAGTAATTTGGGAAGAGATGAAGTGTAAAGAAAGGGTCAAAGACTAAGAAGTCAAAGTCTGAGTACAGTACACTGTCTGCAAAACTGTAATGGAAATGGGAACCCCACTCTTTTCCCCCATTTAAAGCCAGATAATGGTATCTCAGCTGACCTAAGATGGGCTAGATGGTTATTAAAGGGCTTCAGGTATAATTGCATTTATGGCAGGATGGGAAGGCAACGATTGATCTGAGGCTCTGGACAGTTTCAGTGACTTGATGTCTTATAAAAGTAACCAGCAGAGCCAGTGCCCAGGTCTCGTGGCAAGGGAATTAGTTCCCACTTCAGTGATGTTCTTTGATCCAGACTGGACACGGCATCCTCTGGGAATTCAGGTTGCTGGGAACAAGAGCTCATCTTGGGATGACGATAATGAATGCCTCAAGTTCCTCACCTCTGAAAATGAGCACAGTGAATATGCTATTCACTATGAATATACTACTGGGAGATCAATGCACTGTTGGGAAGGCAGCCACAGATAAGATGTTTAAGATGTTTTCCAGTTTTGTGATATCTTGATTTTGCCATTAACTGAGTTTTTTGCCTTTTTTTAGTTTGCTACCAAAGCCAGCATGGCTGTCTTTACGTCTAGCTATATGCTAGCCTTGACTACATGCTAACTGCCGCATCAGAAGTTCTACATAAAGCATTCACAGCATTTATTGCTGCTGCAAAAGGTGTCTCTAACTTATGGCTGCTCCTTATTCTTTGGGACMACATAAATAGGCCTGTACCAAATGGAGAGAATTTTTTATTATGGTGGCTGGGAAAATCAAGATTGGAGGTGTGGAGATGACTAGAGGTGTAGAGATGACTACTTGGTCAGATAGGATTTGGCATGAATAGCTTGTGTCCTTATATGACCCATCTGCTAGGCCCTGACATGGTGGAGCCCTTTCCTACACAAAGATTTGCAAAAGTAGGGTAAACCTTTCACATGCTTGCGTGTGCCCAGGTCTTCAACATGCAAGATGGGATTTGTATATTACTATCCCTGTGCAGTCATATTTGTATGTCTGTATGTGTCAARTAGCTGGAATAACCTAGTTTTTACCCTTATGCCACCTGCTTTTCTTACAGCAGTGTTTCTCCTTTAACAGCTCCTACTTCTGGTGTCCATCTTGTTACATGGCAGCAGCAAGATAGATGCTGTGGTATAAGGAAAGAAAAAATGCACCACCACTACCAACAAAAGCCACAAAAGTATTTTATTTTCATACAGAAATACTGGGTCTGGTCCTGGAATGTGCCTAGTGCTTTATCTGCCACTAGCATTTAAGCTGCTGGCTCTCACTGAACTGGTTTTCTTGTGAGAGGAAGGCAGCCAGTTGAGGTCTCATCTCGTGCAGATTCAAGGAAACATCATCCGGCCGTGGCGATATCAGTGCCTAACGCGTTTCTCTGTGCTCCGCAGGCTGGTACACTCCTCCAAAGGAAGATGGTTAATGCTGAGGACTGCCGCACACCTGGACCAACACCAACAACGCGAGCTATTTTTTATGTTTTCCAACACACAGACTCAAGCTATGAGTGCCCCTATAACAGCCGTACTGAAGACTTTAGCTCTTAGATAAGTTAGTGGATAATCTGTCAACTGACACTTAAAGTATAAGTTACAGCCTTACCATTCCGCTCTTCTTAGATATCTTGGACTGAGCAGTTTTGGCCTTTACTGTATTTGTTCTTATGGATTAAGCATATTTGGGCCAACCCTTCCCTTCCCTCCTTTTTATTTAAAAGTGTAAACTCCCTAAAGCAGGCTATTGACTTACTAAAGTTCATTAAATAGGAGTTGTTCACACACTTTTGTGTATTTCTTACCTTTTGCAGGATGCAGACTGCAAAGACTTGCATTGTATCGTTTCATTTAAAGCCAAGAAGTTTAATACATTGTTTAATACTATTTTAGGAAATGTCAGGTCTTGCAAATCACGGTAGTTTTTCTGGTCTAAAATGACAGCATTTGTAGTATTTCCAAATTAATGATATAGGAAAAACACGTGTATGTTAAGTCATTAAACATTTTTTCATGGCTGTATGAGAATATGAACTGTTTCTTGGAGAAGATGCTCTTTGTTTAGATTATGGGGTTTTTTTTTGTTTTGTTTTTAAGCAGAGCAAGGCTGTGCCAATAAAACCTTGTAACTAGTCACTTCCACTGGGGCATCAGAACTTGCTGGGCTGTTCCTGCTGCTGCTCGGCTCAACTGACTCGCCGAGAGCCGCAGTATGAAGCTTGAAGTTATTTAAAATGCTAAAAAGCCTTTTTAGGTGTTCCATTTTTATTAACGGGTTGTTGCAATCATTTGTAAACTAATGAACTTCTAAAGTGATTGGCACAAATTGAGGTGAAAGTCCTTGAATGAAAAGGTTTTTTTAGATAAAAAGCTACAATAAAGTACAAAAATGCATCATCTGCTTCAGAGATTTAAGGAATGTTGCCATAGTCGTGAGAGTGGTTTTGCCATGGAGAGACTAATGGGAACTGCTGTTTCTTTACTAGGAAATGAACCTGGGTCTGTGCAACCACGCTGTTCATTGCCTTAGGAGCGTGGATCTGTTCGCCTGCAGCCCTCGGTGTTGCCTTGCAGGGTGCACACCATGGCTGAAATGCTTCTCGAGGCCCAGGAACACGTTTTTGTTAGGTTCTTTTTAGTTGATCATCAAAATTGTGCTGTTTTCTCTTATCAGGCACCCGTGGGTCCTTGTGCGTTTGCTTCTCGATCCGATTTTTAGCTTGAAAGAAAAATGCGAGATTGGGCACTGCTTCTGACACACGTTGTTGAGGCTCCCCTCTCGGCCGTGGGGGGTGACTGCCAGCCTTTCTGCTCACTTGGTTGTACATATTATATTTGTATAAATTCCTGGTAGCCAGACGCTGATGTAGCCCCCCGTGCGAGGCAGAGCCACCAGCGTTGCCCTCCTCACAGTCYGAGGAGGCCGAGCTGCCTCTGGCACCCCGCGGGCTTGGCATGCTTTGGTTTGGGTTTACTTTCCTTTCCCTTCCCCCTCCCTCCTTTTCTTTTCCTCCCTCATTGCAGAATTACTTGGCAATGTACAGTAATTTGTAAACTTGCATCAAGTTTATGAATAAAAACCATTTTAAGAACGGCAGCGCTCCTGTGGTTACTGCNGGGGGGGGGGGAACCATCATGGCGCCGCCGGCTGCCTCCGGGCGCGCCCCTCCCCCCGCCGCCAGGCGGCGCACGCGCACGGCGCGACCGTTGGCGAGCGACCGTTAGCGAGCGACCGTTGGCGTCACGCGCGCGCCTGGCGGAAGGGGAAGGGCGCGTGCGGGCGGCAGCCGTCGCGTCGCGCGTGACGCGGCCGTTGGCGAGGAGGCCGCCGCGGCCATGGAGACGGACGCGCGCGGCGCGGCCGTGCTGGGCGGCCTGGCCGAGGTGGTGGAGCGCGTCCTCGGCTTCCTGCCCACCAAGGCGCTGCTGCGCGCCGCCTGGTAGGGCCGGGCCGGGGAGCGGGGTGCGCGCGGCGGCCGGTGGCGGTGGGGGCCGGGCGCGAGGCGGCGGCGCTGACGCGCGGTGTTGGCAGCGTGTGCCGCCTGTGGAGGGAGTGCGCCCGGCGCACGCTGCGCGCGCGGCAGCGCCTCGCCTGGGTGTCGGCGCTGGAGGCGGGTCCCGGTGAGAGCCACGCGCTGGTGCGCGCCCTGGCCCACGAGCTCGAGGTAGGTGCTGCGCGGCCGCGGCCCCCGGGACCCTCCTTCCCCCCCACACCCCCCACACACACACACAAACGGCGCGCGCGGTGCGGGCGGGTGCTGTGAGGGCCCCGGTGTCTGCAGGGATCGGGGGCGGCCCCTTCCCCAGCCCCGCTCCGCTGCTGTGGCAGAGGTGCCCTCAGCTCCTTAACGAGGGCTTTGCAGAGGCTTAGCTGCTGACAACTTTGTAGAGGGGCCGCGTAAACAAAGCTGGGGAAATAGCAAAAGTGAATGTAGTGAACTCTTTCCCTGCTTTTTCTTTCAGAAATTCCCCCCCCCAACACACACTTTTTTTCCCCCTCTTTATTTAGCTTATGTCTCTGTTGAAGGCATGTTCTGAGAAGCAGCTAACTAGCATAATGTTGCCCCTTGCGTCTTTTTGCAGAAGGTGCATGTGCTGCCACAGACTGTGCTCTACATAGCAGATGCAGAAACTTTCAGTGGACACGAGGAGTGTCACGAACAGAAGAAAGGTGGCCGTTAAAATTACTTATTTTACATCAACTGAAACAGAATTCTCTGTATTTGGTTTTCAGAGGAAAGTAAATCTTTCACCAAAAAAATGTGATTGCACAGATCAGTGTTCATGTTATGAAGTGCAATCCACCCATGTATGTGGCTCTGTGTGGCTTTACATTCACACACGAGTGTGCAGTGATTTATTTTCTCATCCTGATCGGGGTGCTGGTTCTGCTTTGTACCCTACAGATAATACGGGTTTGCCAAGTTTTTTACTGGGCAGCWGTTGATTGGGAGTGTTATTTAAATAGGGTGGGATTAACTGTAAGATTTTAACGCCTTTGACATTTCTGTGCCTCCCTCACCCCCCCACCTTTTTTTAACAGCAAGAAAAAGAAACAGTAAAGAAACGGCGATTGAGCTAGAAAAATTGTTGCCAAAGCGATGTCAGGTTCTTGGACTCGTCACCCCAGGGATTGTAGGTAGGACAAAAATGTGTGATCTGATGTGAGATCTGATGCAAGATCAGGTTAAAGATGTCTAGGGTATCACAGATCTTTTCAGACTTCCCTTTATTGCAACTCCACGTATTTTTGCATGCCTAGTCATGCACACTGAATGGAGTGTCCACACAGATTATTACCCGATGCTGCTGCCACCTTGTTCAGTCCTAGCTTCAATGGGAAGGAATTCACGCTGTTGCTGCTAAAGCACATGGGTGCTCTAAACTTTTACTTCACGTAGATGTCTTGACTGCTTCTAAATTTTCATTAGTTGATACCTTAGTGTAATTACTTTATATTTCTTGAGTATGCGTATGTTTTTAAAAGTTACATTGTGAGGAGTTGTACAGGGAGGTCCCAGGTCTGTGATGTCTTCAGTGTGAATCCATTTGTTTTGGTCTAGCAAGAGGCATTAACAGTAAAAGTGGAAATTCATAACTTCACTTGGTGGTCATTTTCTAGTACTTCATTTTTATCGCTAGAAACTTTTTTTTTTCTAATTTGTTACCTTAATATCTCTCTCTCTCTCTCTCTCTCTCTCTCTCTATCTCTCTCTATCTCTCTCTATCTCTCTCTATCTCTATCTCTCTCTCTCTCCAATGTAAGAAATTTTCCTGTTAACTGTGGTCATGGGGGACAAATTACATGTTGTATAATGGGCAACAAACCTGCAACTAGAAGTGTTGGGATCACAGTATGCAAGATGTTGTGGGGTTTTTTTGTGTGTCTTTGTAGTTACCCCTATGGGTTCAAGCAGCAATCGACCTCAAGAAATCGAAGAAGGTGAAGCTGGCTTTGCTCTTTTGTTCCCCAAAATTGATGGGGTGAAAATCCAAACCTTCCATTTTTTTAAAGACTTGAAGAACAGGGTCTTCGATGAAAATAAATTTTCGGAAGCAGGTGTGTATTTCTTCTCCATTTCACCTGGGCTTTTGTGAATTGTTAAGAGGCTTTTTTTAGGGTTCAGCATGGAACTCTGTGCAATGAACAGCTTGTGTCCTATCCCCMCACACAGAGCATTTGGTGACTGCAAAAGCAACTGAGATAATTATGCACCTCTGCTCTTCCCTTATTCTGAAGAGTGGATGAGTTTAAACAGGATGCTTGGACTTTAGAAGTCAGTATCTTAAAAATAAAAGGATTGACTTTTTTTTTTTAATACTAGGTCTGAAAAATAATCCAGATCTCCGTGTGGTTCTTCTGTTTGGCTACAATTCCTGGAAGTCTGGAGCTACTCGGTTTCTTCATCAAATAGTCAATCCTTTGAATGAAAAAAGTATCATCCTTGCTGGGGGTCAAGTGGAGAGTTTTACATCACTGATCTCTGAACAGTAAGTAGCTTTTTTAAGCTAAATTTTAAAGGAGATTTAAAACAGGAAAAACATGTACAGTGCTGGGCACAAAAACACTGTGACTAGTGAGGAGCCAGGAGCCAAACATCCCTGCAAGTCAGTGCTGTTACTGAGCTTATTACTTAAAAAATCAATCTATCAAACAAAGAAAACAAAAATGCACAAAACCACTGTAGACACAATAGCCTGCCTTACTGGAGATGTCTATTCACAGAAGTAAAACGGTACCTTTTGAAGCAAATAAAGTACAACTATTTCACTGGGATCCAGGAAGAATTCAGTTGAGATTAATAAAGCAAAAATAGGTAAATACCAAAACCACTGTGTCCTGGCTAACCAGGGAGACTGAGCCAACATGGACGTGCAGCCATTACTCATTGCCGCCCAGGTTTGATATTTGAATTCTGAGYGTCCTCGTTTGTCCATAGTTCAGCTGGAGTTACAGAGCTGTGACTTAAGTGAACTGCCAAGTTGGCAAGTAGCTAATGGATAGGAAAGTTCTGCTACTATTCGCTTTGTGCTTAAAGAAAACAATGTTGGAGGTGTCCTGTTTCGTTTTGAACTGTGAGGAGCTCTGAGAATCCCCTCGGGAGGCTGTCRGTTTGGAGCCCCGCGTCGGCTGCAGCAGGAGCTAGGCGAGCACCGCGGTGCCCCGGCAGCCCCTGTAATGCGCTGTGCATTGCCTTTCAGCACCAGCGCGCAGCCCAGTGATGCCTGYGGGGTGGTCGGACTGGCCTTCAGCGGTCCCCAGATCCAGAGCGCCACCGTTTTGTTAGACCAGGACGTAGCTGACGAGAGGACAGCAGAAGCCGCCATGCAGCGCCTCAAAGCAGCGAACATCCCTGAGCGTAACACCGTTGGCTTCATGTTCGCCTGTGTTGGCAGAGGATATCGGCATTATAAAACCAAAAGGAATATGGAAGCAGATGCCTTTAGGAAGTTTTTTCCGAATGTTCCGCTCTTTGGCTTTTTTGGACATGGGGAAATAGGATGTGATCGAATAGTTACTGGGAATTTCGTACTGAGAGAATGTAATGACATAAAAGAGGACCTGCTTCATGGTTATACTACAGTTATGACTCTTATTCATCTTGGTTCAACTAAAGCAAACCAAGTGTAAATGTTTTTAATGCACCAGTGAACTGTTTGCTTTCATTACAGAAAACTGAGAAGTCTGGGAGAGTGGATATCGTGCAGTGAAAGCACCTTCCGAAACGTTGTTTTCTTAACATTATCAAATCTTGTAGTCTGCATAGCATTTAATATGGTAGCTATGGGGAAGCTTTGCATTTTGCATAATCCTGTAAGCACATCAGCAGGTAAAATGCAGGTAAATTGTAATTGATGCAGCCTGGCAGCTGAGGAAGGCCACTTTCTTCTAAGATGAGAAAAAATTTCCACAGATAGCAGCTGGAATCCAAATATCAACATGTGGAAATAAAGAGTGTTTTGATAYTATCTATTTATGTATGTAAAACAATCTGGAAGATCTGCTGATGCATACTGAGATACTGATGCATGAAATCCACCTTTTCCTGAGTTTTATTTCAAGAAATGTGCAACTTGCCTAGACTGAGTCCTGTTTACAAAGCTAAACTGTTTTACTAGATAACATGAATGAAAGTCTTTAGATAGCAATCACAAAGCACTCACTAAATAAACAATTAAAATAAGCAAAAGTACTTTGTCTTCTGTTTTTAGAGAAGARGAATCTCTGAAGAGATGTCCAGTTATAAAATCACCTGTATCACCATCTGMATTGAATTTTAAGAGTCTTAAATACCTGATGCAGAAAAGTTGTCCGTTATTTTTTATGTAGTAGCAATTCCAGTCTTGGTCCTAGAATATTGAGCTTATGCAGTGAAAATGGACTGGTCACCTTTTCTTGGCAGTTCTCTTGCAGCATCACACTCTCTATTCATTTTTAAATCCAGAGTGCTTAAATAAGAAGATTCTACTTAGTGTCTTTAAGTTCCTATACAGAAGATGGTTCCTTTCAGAARCATTTTAGTTTTTGTTTAGAAATTGTGGACCATGAAACATCTGGCTTTGATGCATTTAGATGCCACTTCTTCGCCAATTCTTTGGCTGTTGTGTTTTGTTTATCTCAGCTGAAGGACAAAGATTTTTCCAGAGTTCTCTAAGCTCTAGCTTTTACACCAGTCACTTACTTYGATTTCTGCAGCTGGAATCTGCTATTACAGAGTTCAAAGGAATAAATTCACTGTAGTCTCAGTATGCTTGTAATAGAATTCCTCCTTTTTCTTTTCGTTTAAGKAACAGTAACAAGAAAATAAGATTTGATTTGTATTATTTCAACATTCCTCTAAAAGCCAAATCAGTCAGCTGTCCTTTTTTCAGTTTAACAAAAAGAGTGTTCAGCTCTGTGTTGTACAACCAAATAACCTTTATGTTACCATTCTAAATGCAAAGCCAAGACTACAGCGTGTGTCGTTCTGCCAATGTAGAGTTAAAAACTGAACAGCAGAAAAGCAACCGAGTGCCCCAGAAAATAGGTAAACTGTGCAAAGGACCCCCTGAGCATCCAGCAGTACAAAGGTGTCCAGAAGCACCTGCTGCAGGCAGGYTCTGAGCACCAGCGACAGCAACACAAAGCATGAGAGCCTGTTGTAACCTGCCCATCAGCAGCAGGGTTCTCCACACCCAGTTTGCCCATGGTCAGGAGGACACTGAATATTGTGCTGACGGTGTGAGAAGTGACACCAGGAACCGGAACGGCTGGGACCGCTGCCTTGCCCCATAGTGTCTCTTCTGGGCGCTCTCATGTGACAGAGGTCACATAAATTGCATATAGCTATGATTAAAATGTTTTGGCATYGAAATCCATTTAGCTTCCACGCCGTCATGTGGTCTTAAACTGCAACAGCTCCTGAGTGAAACTAAAATACATCTGCTTAAAGGGCAGCTTGTACCTCCTGCTTGATGCAACAGGCCAAAAGCCAGTGCTTGTTCTTAATAGACTTACAAATTTTACAGTACAGCGATTTATACCTCTCCCTCTCAAGAAAACAACCATACATTTTTGAGATGCAAAAAAGTTAAATTCAGCAATTGAGGCAAGTATGAATAGCAAGGCTATTTACACGACATTCAAAGAGAACCCTGATAATAATCATCTGCACCATCAAGAAGGCTGATGGTCAGCTGTTCCTTGTAAGCATATTTAATCCTTAAGTGACCACAACTGGATATTGTTATGTTGATAAAATTAAACCTTCAAAGGCACAGCACCTGCAGGAAAAAGTGTGTGTGTAGGGAAAGCAGGGTAGCTTGTAAAATGTTAAAAAAAAAAAAAAAAGTGACATTTTTCTCATATGTTGAATGCAAGATTTTGTGCAATACTTCTTTTAATGCCTCTTTTGGTTAAATGAACTGTGCTGTCAAAAGTACAAAAACAAGCAAAATTACATGATCTATTAACATCTAGGTACAAATCTAGAAATCCTCTCCTTAAGAAATGTTTTCTACAGYGTGCATTTGTAAGAAGACAAGAATGAGCTGATGAAAAGGAGACAATTTTTGTTAATTTTTACTACTGTCAGAAAACAAATTTGTTTAAATGCTGAASAAAACTGCGAAGACAGAGAGCACGCTTTTTATCACTTTCTGTGTGTGAAGATTTGTTTTAGCTCAAGTTAATATTGCAACAAGCCTTATTTTAACCAATGAGTGAGTCATCCTGAATCTTGCCCTTTTGGCAGGGAACAGTAAATGAAGATGTGTAAATGATGCTGCTAAACTCCGACTTCCAGGATGCGGAAGACGTGGCTGGTAAGAGTGCAAACCTTTAACTGAGATTTTTTGGGAAAAAATATGTTTAAATATATTAATTAATTTTAGCTAAAAAATCTGCCTCAGGAATCACTCTGTGTCATTAGGCTCTCAATTTATTTTGGTCGTTATGGAAAAAAAAAAGAAAACTTAGAACCTCTTTTGTCCAGTAGTGAATCTGTTTTCATTAATCTTCATATAAGACAAGAAGTTTGATAGTTACTTTTTTTTTTTTCCCAACACCTAGTATTTATGAGAACACCTAGAAAACAAATCTGCAATACTTGACATTCACACCCTACTTTTGTTTTAATCCATGGAACAATACAGAAAAATGAAGTTAGAGACTGGAAGTTAGCATGACTGGAAGTTTTTTATTTTGAGAAGTTACAAGGATAGCAAATATGTAATATAAATGTTCTTTGATAGGGTCTTTTATATTATAATCTCAAAGCACTCTGCAAATGTTAAGAAAATAATTATTTCCCCCCGAAATGTGATTATTTTTCATGATTATATGCAGCAGATATTTGCTGCAGTTTTGAGACCTTGGTTTGGATATTCCTTTTACACCATGAGCCTCTAAAACACCTGCCATCTTAGTATAGCTGAGGCATTCTTTGCACACGAAAGCAGGGCAGATAAGCATGAGGATGTGATTCTCACAGTTCTTGAAATTTTTTGCCCAAGTTCTGGGTAGTTCCTGTTTGGGAGCCCTGTCTGGGCGAGAGCGAGGTGCTGGTGCCAGTGCGGCCCCGAGGAACTGGCTGCTCCTGGCTCCTCTTCCACAGGTGCCGGCCAGTTCTGGTCAAGCAAACACCCGCTTGTGCAACACTGTGTAATGATTTATGTCCTTTTGTGCTTGTCTGCATTTCATACCAGGGTAGGGAGCATTTCTAAATTCGCACATAATGATGGTGAAAACCTGGAAACTTTAGGTTTCGAAGGAAGGTTTCAGGGAGGTTTGGAGTCTTTGGAAATTGTATTACCTGGAGACTTGTATTTGAATTCTTGGTCAAGAAATAGCTGATGGAAAAAGAAGTTTAGAGTGGCCTTGATGACGGAGGCACAAATTTCATTCCCAAATGTACAATTTTGTGCTTCTTCATTCCCAAATGTACAAATGTACAAATGTACAAATGTACAAATTTGTACAAATGTACAAATTTCATTCCCAAATGTACAAATTTGTGCTTCATTTCAACACTTTAAAAAAAAAAATTATATACCAGTATCATTACATTTCACAGCTAGATCCTGGCTGAAGATAGCAGGTAGCACAAATAGCTTAAAATAGATGTTTCATAGTGATTCTTGTCAGTGTATTGGTGTCACTCATGTCACCTTTTCAAGGTAATTTTTCACAACCGTAAGAGTTAGAAACAGGTTTTTTTGTGTGTGTGTGTGTKTTTTAATTAAGCTTGTCTTAGCTCAACTCTCTGTATTGCAACAGTGAGAGTCAACACTAATCTCTYTCCTCCCCCTCAAAAACCGGGAACTCTGCTAGACTTTACAAAACTGGTGAAAATGTCAGAACCATTTAAAGCGGCCAGAGCCTTGACTGCCGTGACATAGAAAGAAGAGAACAGTGAGTACAACATAGGTTTGCATAACTGAGCCCTGCTAAATATTCTTCCACTAGAAAATGTAGCTGAGCCTCTAATCTCATCATCTGCATCTACAAAACTTGTGGTCAAAATACCAACACTTGTCTGGAGAGGATAACTTGAAAAGAGCCTGTAGGTACCCTGAAAGGAGAGTTCAAATGCTACATAAGCGTACCTCTGTGTCAGGTTAAAAGTGTCAGAAATCTTTTTTTGTTTTGTTTTAATTTGGAGAATGAAACCAAAAATATCTTGATGCAATTTCCAGTTCCACATTTGCAAGTTCTATTTATACACCCTTAGATAGCTGTTAGACTAATTCCTGCTGAAAGGCTTTTTGGGTATCAGTTCAGTCCCAATTACGGAACAGAGCTGCAATCTGCTTACATTAAGTATCTGCATTTGTATTTGGTACTTCACTATTGAGAAACTGCTCTAACTTAMATTAAATATAGCCTGCGTTCTCACCACTTAAATTAATGCACTGTCATTCCGAACTTTATCTGAAATAGCCTCATGCCATTTGAATCTGAAGGGTGCTAAATACCATTGGAACGTGATTTTGTTTTGAGGCTGTATGTTTGGTTTTTTTAGTGCAAAAGAACTGGGTTGCCTTTAAACCCATATCCACCCTGGCAAAGGTTCTTGCTGTGCGGCTCCCTCTCCTGGACATGCACCTCCTGCTATGGATTTTGCTGGGAACGTCACAGCCATTTTTATCCCTTTAGATGCACTCACTGCTTTCCCTCTTCTCAGCTTTTAGCAGTTCTGGCAGCTCCTACTGTAGGAGCACCCTTAACAGCAGGAAGGAATGACACAGGCGCAGTTGCTGGGGTGGGTAACATTACTGTCCTCCATTTCTCGTCTTCTTTCCATTTGTTTAAAAAAAAAAAAAAAAGTTGTGTTATTAAAACCTCTCTGCTACTCCTTACAAAAGAAGAGTCATAAGAAGGAAAAAAAAAAATGTGTTTCTGTGCAGTAAATGGTGAAGGGGCAGCACAACCCTGCACTACCAAGCAGGCTACCCTGTGATTTTCTCTCTTAACGTTTTAATTACAAAAGTCAAAAAATATGCAGCACAGAAATAGCCTTTTGTTTTCTTTCCACAGTTATTTCACCTTTCATTGATCTTTGCCCCTGCCGTTCACGTGTGCCACTCAGGAAAAAAATACATATATTGACAGTGTATAAGCAGCTTCTGAGTTAGGTCTATAAAATGTCTTCCTCTGTATTTTGTGACCGTTCTAAAATTTTCTGTTAACACATTAAGAAGAAATTTTTACTGTGAGATTCTGGAAGGAAAACATAACCGTCAGGTATAAAGATTTTTTTTTGCCTTAACACTGTTAATAAATTGTTCAATTATATTAAATGCGGTTGCTAATTAATTACGTGTATGCATTCTCATGGTGTATCTCCATCTGATATCCACTTCCTCTCACCCTTTAAACTGCTGGGAGGATAGTTCAAAGATGCCAAGAGCTGGTATGTTTCATGAAAATGGGAGTCAAGTAAAGAGAGGCCCTTTTAATGCTCTCTGCATGTGTGTAACACCTTCTGACTCCAGCCACAAGATCTGATCCGTGGGAAAACTGTGCTTCCTTAGCTGGATTGCTCACTTAATTTTGGAAGCAAGCATTGCTAGGTGGCTTCGTACAGTTTTATTACATTAGCTTTAATGTTGGCTACCTTGTACTTTCTGTGGCATTTGGCCAACTTAAAATGAATTTGTAGCTTACTCTCATTTTGACCTGAAAGAGGAATTCACTAGGCTTGTGAATTGGAATAACTTATTTGAGAAGCTGAAATGCTTGCAAATGCAAGGGATTTGAAGGAATCACAACCATTAATAGGATTCCATTCAAAGACAGGATTGTTTCATAAATGGACTTGTTTGCATTTAGACCATGCTTTCATTTAATCAGCTTGATATTTTGGTACAAATTCTTTCCTGGATAATGCAAACAAGTTGGGTGGCTGTGAATTACTACTTCATATCTATCTGGAAAGCTGAGAGAGTTGTAAGAGTTTATGGAGTACTTCAGTCCATTTATTTCTTGCATCTTCTATTAAGATTTCCTTCCTAAATTTCCAGTTAAGGTGTCTACTTTTTGTTCTTCAGTGAAAGTAATGTTCTGAACTTTGCCATTAGAAAGTCTGGGTGGCCCATGCTCAATAACATATGGATGTTATCTAACAGCARTCTTCCCTGACTATTTGTCACTGAGGCTATGCACAGTATTTTAAGTAACACTGATTCTCATGTAGCTGTCAATACCACTGCACATCCCCTAAGCTCTATATTTATCAGTGGCATGTTCCTATGTGATGAAAAAATCACTTTTATATTTCCTAGCCTTTAAAACAGCATTAGCAGCCTCCTTCAGAGTATCTGTTAATGGTCTGAAGTTCAAAAAATAAGATATAAGATCAGTTAATTTGGGGCAAAAGTGGTCTTTCAAAGCTTTGCAAAACTGAATTGAGCTCTTGTCTGGATCAGGACCTCCTGAGACTGGGACTGATGTGATGCTTTTAGAGGCTCTCTGCAGATGTTCAACTTTCACTTGGRCCACAGCTTCTCTGGCATCAGTCCTTAGAAGGTAATGAATTTCTTTGTTTTGTTTTGTATTGATTACTGTATGATTTTCACTTCTTAGCTTATAGGCTGTAACAAAATACCCTTTCTTCTCTGTCTTACTATGCTCTTGTCTACATTGATTTAAAATACACATTATTTTTCCTGGCACCAGAGCATATAGCAGGCACCCCAGGGAAGCAAGCTTATTCAAATCTTCCTTTGCACCTCTAGGTGTATATAATGCCATTGGTATTCTTTCAGAAATAAGAAATAAGCATTTTGCATTTTTCATCCTTTCAATTCCTGGAGTTTTTTCAATTAACTTTCTCTTCAATACAACCCTATAATATATAATAGATAGTAATATATAATATAATAGTGTGATCAGCAAATGGTTATGTAAATAAAAAAAATGCATCTTCAGAGGGGGCATGACTTGTCCAGCCAAGACATTTGCCTGGATAATATTTTGTTTCAGGAATGGACCTGGTAAATAGGTTTCCTTACTTCCATTATAGGAACTATCAATTGTAAAATTTAAGGCAAGGTTTAATCCGCTCTGCGTAGTGAGATTTTCAGGAGATACTGACAGGGCAAAAGGAAAAAACATCATGGAAGGTACTCTGCAGAATACCAAGAACATATACCAAACAAAGAGTAAATACTCTGCCCAGTATATCTCTTTTAACCATTATAAGCGTCTCTACAGTTTCTTTTAATTTCAATTGAAATCTTATGCCAGCTGTTCAGTACACTAATAACAACACCTCACTCTCATGTTGTCTTGCTATTAAAAAAGCAGTATTAGCTGGAGAAAGCTATTTTTTTTCCTCTACATTTGATAGAGATACCTGAAACAATCCATATCATGGACATTTGTAGCAAGGATAAATTTTGAAAATATTGAATCAAGACAGTCGCAACTTTTCTGAGGTGGTACTGTGAAAAGACTATCAGACTACCAGAAATTCTTATCATTATCTCATGCTACTTACATTGTGGGGAAAACCCTGTGATTATCTCAAATTTCCTACAATTTACTATTTACCATGCAGTAAAACCCCAAATTATTCCACATTTCTATCTTTGCATGGCTGAAAAAGAAACCAAAAATCAGATACGATCACTTTACAAATAATATGAGTTATACTTGTCCTGGAAAATCTCACAAAATTCAAACATACAGTGTGTACTAATTTCTGTAGAATTTGMTATGCCTTGAAAAAATTAAGGAAACGCTAATAAATACAATTGTTCATGTTTTGGTTGCAGTCTTCTCCAGCAAGAAAGCCTCCTACTTGAGTTTACTTTCTTCTTTCATCGTGCTTGCTACACCCTCTTCTTCACCGGTTATGTAATTAGGGTTGCTCTGCATGTTGGTTTCCCATTGTTCATCTGCTTTACTGCTTTATTCTATTATTATTTCTGAAAAAAAAAAAAATGGAAGGATTTACTAGTTTGTCTCCTGCCTTCCTTGAAGAGTCGAGTCATTTAACATTAAACGCACTCACTGTTGCAGCCATTGCTGCGTGTCGTCTCAACCAGGCTGGCGCCGCACTCCGATGGGCTCCTCCGCGTAACGGCAGCTCTCCTGGTCATAAGAAACAAAAGAGAGACACAACAGAGAGTGAAAACACACAGCCTGAAAAAAGATTTCAGAGCATATCAGAGAAGATACACATTAACCGAGTGATGCTTCCACTGAAGGAAAAGCAACACAGATCTCCTGTGGTTACATTTGAATGAATATTCCATGTTTCTGGGAAGCATGAAGGGATAATAAAAGAGATCAGAGGCGTGAAAAGGACTCAGAACTAATGGCTTCGCTCTTGGAGTTAATGTTCCTATTCCAGCCAGACTTCTCAACTCTTTATTATGTAGTTAGGAGGCAGCAAAAACAATTTTTGATTAAGTTTCTTATATTTGGAAACGAAATATCAATACTACCATGTTTTCCACACTTTCTTCAGGAGATAAAGCTTTTTTAGATAGAGATGATTTCTTCCTTTCTCCTTCCATCTTTTAATAGAAATTAGACATCTGCTGCTATGAGAAGAGCCATGAGCTATTCCCCTCTTTGTCCAGTTTGTGTCCTGTGGTGCTAGTAACTCCTCCACAAAGTCTGTTGGCTTGGATAGCTCAAGCGGCTGTATTCCTGGACCCTGTTGTTTTGGCTGGCACAGTTCCTCTCCATTGAATATATACTTATCTAGCAAGTAATTTGCCCTTTCAATATGGACTACTAAATTACAGAAATGAATCACAGATGTATTTTGGTTCTCCCTAGGGCTTTCTCCACCCCACTAAGCTGTGCAGTTCACATTCAAGCTGTGCATTTCACATTCAGGCCTCTCTCCCTATTTTTTTTTTTTTTAATAGAAGTTATTTCATGTGGAATCTCTGCTAGATTAATCAGCTTCCTTTTTGCTCTTCTTGCAGTAACCCTTGTACAGAAGAAAACCAGATGGGCCTGTGCTGGCACTTGAATTGCTGGTAGCAAAATCTGCCATTCGTTATCTCAATAACTATTTAATAGCAGGAGTTAAGAAAASTTTCCTGGTTTCCCCAGGACGCTGCAGTGAGCTTGATTGGTGCCGTTTGTTGGGGGAGGTCAAAGGAGAGGTGTGTGCAGTGTGTTTGCTGCAGTCGAGAGAGCAGCTTGGTCTGGATTTGGGTGTGAAAAGGGGAGAAAGGAGCTCAGCTGAATGAGGTGAGTGTAGCACGCAGAACTGAGCTTGCTCTCCAAAGGCTGTGCATCCCTCTTTGACACAGAAGAGACTTTTATTGCCCATGAAGCAGTAAATTCCTGGAGAGAGCCTGACAAAGTAACCAAAGCCAAAGCACCCACTGGGCACTGGCAGCGGGAGGTTTAACCCAGACAAGACCAGCTTGACTTGCAGAGATTAAGTGTGAGGTGAGAGAAAGGTTGCAGCTGTTTGACATTATAATGCACAGGGCAAAACAGATCCTTGGTAAAGTCAGATTCAGTTCACTGTTTTAAGAAACAGCTTGGATCTCTAAAATGCCCCAAGGCAGGATTCCTTCAGAAGGCCCTTCACCCAAAACAGCCACACTGTCTTTGAACTGTCTCTGTTTCTGTCTAGAACAGAATTACTTGAACTTCCATCAGCTCTTGTTTTAACCTGCTAAAACAAGAAGCAAAATTTGTAAGGCCTTCAGCAGGAAAGAGTATAAATGTATAAAAGTAGAGCTCCATAGCAGCTCATATCCCATGCAAAGTCCGTAGTATTGTATGGTTTGTGACAGGGAGAAAGGACCTCAATTCCTTCTCATGTGGAATGAGAACCTGATACATGCTGTGCTGTCTTCAACAGCTTCATCTTTCCAGGTCTAAGTCGCTTGTTTTTCTCATCTCCAGTCTTTAAACCACTTCTAAATTTACTCTTTCTCCCCCCTCCCATTCTACAGTTCCTTTTGCTCAGATCTTCCATTRGGTTCCTCTGTTTCTCTCTCCCTTCTACCATTGTCTCCTAGCCATGTCAGATACTGCCTGCTTCTTCTGTGTCTTTGATTCTCTTTCATTTCTTTGTAGGTTCCTCTTCCTAAAACACACTGTGCTGATGAATCCTAGTACACAACCAAATACAAAATGGATTCAGCTTAACAGGAGATTGCTGGCAGGCTCAAAAACACCTTCTTGTTTATTTTTGTAGAAAATATTTTCATGTATAGCTGATCAAAATGTGATGACTTGGCTAAATGTAAACTGAGAACTGTTTACAACTGTTTGCCCACATCTTTTCCTATCCAATCCTCCTCTTTTATAAGCTGTTTTCATCACTACTTAAGATACAGCTTTAGAARGAGAAGAACAATGAACTCCTTTTAGCCCATCCTGGTCTGCTGCATGGGTGTGTTTGCTGGGACCATAAAAGTCTTTCACAGATGAACTGCACCCACACATGCCYAGTCCTGAAATGTGCCACGGCGGCGTGCAGCCGGAGAGGCAGAAAACTTGGAAAGGAAGGGGGATGCAAGTGATGACAAGGAGAAGAAATTGGAGCATCAGTTTCCTAAATTCTAACATAGGTCTGGTGTACAATTTTAAGCATTCTGTTTCTTTGTACTAAATTGCAACTAATAATCCTTGATCCTCTGCAACCCTTTGGATTTTATTACTGTTTATACTAAAAACACTCAGTGCTGTTTATACTAAAAACACCTTAATCCTCTGCTGAAGGAGCCACAGAATTGCTTTCTGATGAATAACACGGGAAAAAAAATCCTGTACTTTTTGATTCTGGATAAACAATATTTGTTAATAAAGTGTAGTAGTGGAAATTTGATAGCACAATATTTCTCTAATACTTTTAATTTAATATAGCCTGTCAAAAGGACAAGTTAAGGATAACAGAAGCTTTCTACTAAGCATTACAAGCCCTTGTTCCAGACCCTCCTTGAAATTGCATGTTAGAGCTGATAGGCCAAATCTGGGGAAATCTGAACATAACGGTATTAATCACAGCTGCTAACAACCATCCTTGTTTATATAGCTTAAGAGATGGAAGCAGATTTAAGAATTAAATTCTTAATTTAAGAATTGACTTTGCAGATATTCTGATGACCACCTCAGTTGAGAGAGAGGATTTCTCAAGGGAAAGTGCTTCTGCAGGCTTTGAAGCAGAAGATGAACTTGCTATGTCAGCCTTCTGAAGCTTAAAGGTAAGGATAGCTTTTAGATGGTTTTGTGCTTTTCTTTATGACTAGACCAATTAATTATTGCTTTATGAGTTTTGGAAAACTAGTGTGGTAGGTAAGCTAGATTCAGGGGTGACTGTTAAGATCAAGTTACTGCTCTTTTCTGGTCTAAAGGCTCACTACTTGTTCTGCCAGTTACATAAAACCTGAGTAAACTGACCTCCTATAAGGAAATAGTTTGAGGTTCACCTTCCAACCATGCAGTAGAAAAACTGCACAGGCCTGTAACTGCAGTTATTCTGAGCTGCTGACCTCCCTGTGTGAGGCTTTCTCTCAATAAAACTCAGGTGACTTTTTCCAGTCTTTTCCTTATCTTACTATATGCAATATGAAAGGGATCTTGTAATAGATTACTTTCTCTGCATTCTTTTCCCATGTTTTTCTTCTCAGAGACAAGCTTTACTTTTAAAGAAATACAAACAGTTTTAAGAGCTTTGTAGGAATTGTTTCGGTTCAGTTAAAACTGTACTGTAATTTGTACTGTAATTACTGTCCCAGTAATTTGTAAGTTGTTAGCAACTATTCTGGGCTGCGCTGCTGACGCCCCAGCCTTTGTAAAGTCATTGTAATTAAGTTAATCCTGGTTTATTCTCTACAACAACTTTTTTGAAACAAAATCTTATTTTTATGAGATGTTCTTGCTCTCTTCTAACTGTGTTGAGTTATGGGAAAAACTGGCATCCAGTTGGTTTCCATGACAGCAGCCAAAGTAAAACCAGACAGGCTATTTCAGAGGTCACTTGTTGAAAGACTCTGATGGGGAAAGGTTGAGCTGACGATGTGGGTATGAGGGAGAGAAGAAGAGAGAATTGCAAGAAGTGCAGGTTAGCAAAACTAAGGAGAAATGCTGTCCTAGAGTACCCTGAGAGCATAGGAGGCTGTATATTTGGGTTAGTTAATAATGGGAGGGGCTACTAAGCAGTCTTAGAGCATATTAACGATATTATGACAGTATAAACTCTTGCAAAAAGTACCTTAAGCGAAAAAATAGGACAGGACATAAATATAAGTATGTCAAAACAGTAATATTAACAATGTCTGAATGAGTTTTGCTTGGTCTCTCCTGACATCTGGCAAGCTTTCATCTGGATATCTAAGCATCTACCGATATCCTTCTGTAGGTGAGTGAATGTTTGAGGGGAAACAATATTCTCCTGTAACACTGTACGAAGCCTGCTGCAACTCTCTAACTTCCAGTATTTCAATGTATAGCTATGCAAACAAATTCTCCTAGAGGAAATGCTGGTTAGTTAAGTGTACCAATTCCATGCTTTAAAAAAGCAGCAGCAACAAACAGATTAGTTGGTTGTATTAATGCCAGTAACTGTTTCCATAGTTAATTTTTTTTCTTTCAAGCCAGGAGCAGTAAAGGAATTGGGAGCTAATGACACCCACCTGGTTTGGTTGCCAGTACAATTTATTGGAAGACTTCTTGATTTGTAATCACTCTAGAAAATTGCTTCTACTTATCCATCTTTAGACAAATGCTTTAAAACTCTAAAGCCAGGTATACTATAAAAAACTCAGAAACGGGTGCATTACATTTTTTTTTTTTAAGGCAACTGTAGATAGTATCTTAGAAAAGATATTTTGAACACTACAACCCAGGAAGTAAAATGTTATGGACAAGTTGARAATTCCACATTAATTATGCTGAATAACCACACAGACCTTATGGATAATTCATTGCGTAGTTTTACATTCAAATAATTAGTACATGATTATCAGAAGAAATTTCTACTTGATTGAATAGCTTCAGCACTCTGAAGCACTTTTACCTGCAAAGGAAGTAGAATGTTCCAATTACAAGAACTCCTAGGAGAACAACTGAAGCCAAGAAAACTGCAAACAGGTCACCTTTTGTTTGGGATTTGATGCTGGGCAGCAAAACTTCCTCACAACGGGCTCCTGTGTAATTCTCAATACACCTGGGAAACCAAGGTTTATATGGATTAGACTGTACCTTGTCATCTAATACAAAAAGCATAAGGTGTGTTTTAGTTTTAAKTGAGGAGAGCAGAACTTCTTGTGATGACATAACTCAAACTTGTATTTACAATGAAGTTTCTTACGGATTGTCCACTTGGACCATATTTCTGGAGCAAAGGCTATTGGCACATCTTCCCATTTCGCATTCTGAGCCATGCTTTTGTATGTTAAACTATCTCTCTTTAACATAGTCTCTGGATTAGCAGTGTACATGATATACTTCACAATTAAATCGATTTCCCCCACAGGATTTTTGATATTAGTGTGAGGTGCCTCATCTCACTGGCTCTCCTCTCAGGCACAGGAGTCACGCTTTCCTTTCCTGCTTGCCTGTAGCTTTTTACCTTTCTTCATAAAGAGCTTGTACTGTCAGTTATGATAGATCAAGGAAATGGTAGTTCACTGACACATGGTACACATAAAACACTTTACAAATTGCAAAGGCAGTTATGATGGTAGTTTCTGTAATGAAATAACTCATTCCAAAGCATCTCATATGCTGGTGAAAGGCCTTGTCCGGACAGACTTAKCTAAAAGGCTTCCCTGCTATGTCCATCTTAGCCATCAACCTTCTGAAAGCTTCTCCTAACGGGAAGATTCACGCTGTATGGCAAGATGTGGAGGAAGCAAAAGTTCCCCCTGCAAACACTTTTTCAAGCTCTATATTGACATCTCCTAAGTAGATTTAAAACAGCAGTCTGGATTTGGAGCCGGCTGTCTGAGGATAGGCAGAGATCATGGATTTTCTTTCCGATGTACGCAAGCATTTGTTGCRTATTTTGTTGTGATAGACAATAATACCATTTAATACCAATATTCATTTAAAAGTCATAGTTCCACATTAAAAATACACCCTGAATTGTTCRGTCAAGGAACAAACAGTTTAGATGCTAATCAAAGTATCAATGTTCTCTTTGGCACTAATATCTTGGATAAAGTATGGGCTATAGGAAATGAAAAAGTTTAGAAAGATTTGTCTCATTTTCTGTTAATTATTGTACTATTGCGTAAGTGCTCAGTGTTTTGTTTCCAYTGCATATATTCAATTGAAGCATATTCATGAAAGGAATAGAATTTGGTTTCTTAAGCATACCTATCTGGTGGTGATGCTCTTATCATGGTATGGCTAAACTATACTAGCCAGCCAGTATGTTTGCCTTTGATCGCTGTGCTTTCAACCAAAGGTAGTCTTATGAAGAGAGAACTGAATATTTGAATTATACAAGTAATTCCTCAGTAATACATTACAAAAAAAATCTTGTCTAGTAAAAATGTCAAAGACTTAAAATTCATCTTAYACTTGCTGATCATCTCCTGCATGTTTCTGTTCTCTCATTTGAATTATGATCCATTTTAATGGGCCATCCATAAGAAACTAGTGTAAAATCTCAACTATGACAGACTGTATGAGGGAGAAAAAGGCCAAATGCTGCTTTTAATGAGACCAGTAATTCAAATGATGCCAATATATATTTTGCAAGCATGTCAATGAAACTTGAGACTTGTTCTTTGCTTTATCCTTCAGTGTAGAGTCAGTTTACATTCAGGGCTGGATTTATTTGTTAAGTGGAGGGGACTGGGGTTTCTCCTAGTCACGTAGGATGTCTGCTGGATGCTAGTCCAAGGCTCAGCTTGCTGTGCATCTTATGTTGTACTCTGTGGACCTAGACCTGAATTTATAACAGTAAATGTGGTCCTTTACTATAAAAATAAATAAAATGAATACCTTAGTAATTCACACAGAATCAAATATATGTAGGTAGAAGCTAAACTAATCTTCATTTGTTTTACATTCTTCGCTTGCTCTGATAAATTCTCTTAAGGAATTCACTGCGTTGCAGTGAGAGTTTCACTGCGTTGAAAGGGAGAGTTTCGTCCAACCAGTGCATTTCCTTTGTGTCTTTATGTATGTACATTTGTTTCCATCTATGTGGATTAATCTTGCTATTTCTGGCACGAGAGTCCTTCATAGCCTGTGACACAGGCAATTTGAAGCTCCAGCTGAGGCCACTGGGCTGAGCTCTGTAATACAAAGTTCTCAACTGCCATTGACAGCAGCAAGGCCCTATTTCAGATTGGGGACAATTAGCACATGGAAAGGAGCTGTCAAAGGAAAGATCTCCTGCTTAGCTAAACCAGACCAACTGGGAGCATCCTGCCATGCATGAATGATGTGGCTCCCAGAACCACCTTCTGTAGCTTGTGGATTATTGTATCCATACCACAGGGAATTATTGCCATTTCTTGTAGTTCCCTGCCTCTGAAAATTAGCTTTGGATTTTTCTTTTTTCTTTTTCTTTCTTTTTTTAATGTAGATATAATAATGACCATGCATTAAAGCTGTGTTGCTGATCAAGCACCCACTTCTTATTTAGCACAACATGAGACTTCTCAAAGCTGTTGTATCTGACTGCTGGGAGAAGGAAGGGTAGGCAGAGTGTGCTCTGATTGCTGGAGATAATATTCCAGATATTAACTGTAAGTGTAGTTGCATTTCAGTGGCCTCTGTCTGAAATACCTGTAGACTATTTTTAAGAGTAGAAATGTAGTCTGAGTGGTGCATTGTTCTCAAGCAAGTGAGAGAAAAATGCTTTACAGAGCTGAATAGAAAAGCAGAAAGAGAAAATGGAATTTAAAATTCATACAAGTGTTCTTGAATTCCTATGAAAATGGGAGAGAATTCCAATGAAAGGAGAGAATAAAGTTAAAGRAGAAGGAAGAAATAAGTAGGTTTTGGCATCAAACTAAAACTTATGGGTAAGTTCTAAAGAATGAGCCTAAGGAGCAGGAAGTCAGTGGGCTAAAGGAAAAGTGAAGCGGGGAAGGAAGGCACAGCTTTCCTAACCAGAAGAGTTGCATTAGGGTTAGAAAGAATTAAGATTAAAAAGCTAGGGTTAGAGAGCTACTGTGATAACTAACTACTGTAGGCAGAGCAGTTGTGGAAGCAATATTTCTGTTCTGTTACAGACCATGAAAAAATTGAGATGATGATCAACAATAAAGTTAAAAAGGGTGCAGTGACTTTCCTAGAAACAGGCAAACTGAGACTGTGTCTCAGTGTCTCTGTGTGGTTACATTTGCCTTCTGTAAACAAAGTTATGGCCAGTGTGATTCTACCGATAGGGTCTCCTATTGTACAKCCAGGGCAGTTCTGAAAACAGAGATGATGATGCACCAGTTTTTACAAAGTCACCAGTGCAGATGTTTAAAGCAGGAGAAGGGATATACTGGCTATATAAAGGCAATAAATGTCTTCAGGCAGTCAATAGAGGGAAAGATTTCTGCTGAACTGCGTTACTGAAAGTGGTAAGAAATTAGATAAACCTTAAGAATAAGCAGGAGTCCTCAGCCAAAAGATCTTGTCCTGTCTATCAGCAGAGCTCTAGTAATTTCAGTGGAGTCAATACACAGTGACTGGGGCACGGCAGAAAACCAGCCTCACGTAAGATCCCCTCCATAAGGGAACGTGAGCAGACTGTCTGTCTAGTGTCTCCTACAGGTAGTTAGGCTTGCTCTTAAAGGCTTTAAAGGCTGATAGCAACTCAGACTTGTAACATACCCTATTTGTAACAGATGGTGAAATGTGGAGTTTAGGATTGAGGTGCTCCGGGTTTCCAGTGTGGCAGGCAAATGTGCCTCTGTGCTTTCAATGGATGTCTGCAAAAGACAGGGAAGCCTGTCTTCTAAGCTCTGTGAAGAGGGAATTACTCTAATAAGCTGTGTGGTTGCTAGGCCAGGTATTGCTCTTGCATATGCTGTTTCAGCACATGCTGTCTGCTGGCTTTAAATAATCTCACTATGTGGCATTGTAAAGTAGATTTTAAAGGGTGGAGAGGGGGCTCTTTCGCCTTCCAAGAAATTCCCATGTCTAATTCCATCAGAGCTGGAAGACAACAGGCTTCAAATGTTCGAGTAAAGCTGTGGGGCTGCAAGCTCCCATTTTGGATGGCATCCAGGCTTCGGCTCTTCCGCACACACACAAACGCATATGTGTGTGGGCATATAAGGAACTGTTTGTGTAAATACATACATTCACATGAGGTGACCCTAAAACACATGCCATAAAGTCATGGCAGGAGCTGTGCTGTAGAGGAAACACTGATATAATGAATATATGTAAAGAAATTCACAGAATCATTGAACATAGGGAGTTTTGTATTGCTTAATATTCTATGTCAGGATCAATACGAGGTGGAAGAAAATAAATTGCATCTGATATGATGCCAGGGTATGACCAGTGGGCCTGAAATTGTATTGATCCTCTATGATCTGATCAGTAACTGAAAAATAAGCATATTAGTCTGCCCACCAATAAAACAAGGCATTACTGCATTCTGTATGCAGCCACAGTTTGAGACAGTGCAAATGATCCACTGCTTATCTGATTTGGGTAAGAAGAAAAGATTGCGTTTTCTTTCAGACTGAAGTGGTGCCACAAGAAAATATGATCTGATAAGACTTTAAGATTGGAGCTAGATGTGATTCAAATGTGCACATGGAGTCTTATGTCTTAGTGTTATATAATAAGAGATTTTTAGATTTTGAGTCAGGAAAAAACCTGGATGCTTCTAGGTGGATAAAGATGGCATATAAATACAGAACTCTAGTCGAGGGAGAAAAAGAAACACCCTGAGGGTTATCTGATTGCCACTTCAGCTCAGGTCACATGTCTGAGAGCTTAAAAATTGCCCTGATCTGCAGGGTGTAGAAGGCTCTTAAAGGCTGGCTGGCTGAATCCAGTCACTATCCAGACATCCTGTAAATATGGAAAATATTATCTAAGGTTTTAAATTCGTAAAACGCAATGGCAGTTCTTATTGGAAGCCTCAAGTGGCTTTTTAAGAAGTTTTGTGTCTGAATAACTTTCAAAACTGTTACTTGAAATTTGCATTCACATGCATAGTGAGCAAAATGCAACTCTTACTTGTGGTAATGCTAGAGTGAAGTTGAGGGAATGGGTTACTTTCACCCTAGAACTCCCTTAGCTCTGTATTTATGTGGCATGACTTGCTATAATATCTGGTAGTGCTGTTATTTGTCCTTGTAAAGCTCATAAATACCTCTCAAACACATAAATAGATAACATTGTACTTTCTATCTTTATGCCTTATTAAATAAATCTTAAAGTTGATATTTATGGCTGTATTTTTAGGTATGCATTCTTACTTCTGTTTGTGCCTGTCAAGCTAAGGCTAGAACTGACAAATACTAACCAGATACTTTCCCAAGAGCCTGGGGTACCAGACAAGCAGAGTTTGAGGTGGAGAAAGAGGAGCAGCCCAGATGAAGGCAGAGTCCTGCACTAGCTGCTTGCATTGTGTGTATCTGCAAGACTTCGAGTGTATATCCATCTCTGGAAAAGCCATTGGAAAAAGAGAAAGGAAGGATTCATTGCAGAGAAACAGACAGACAAGGACTGGGGGGAGAGAGAGAAGGGATTTGCATAGGATTTATAGGATTAGTATAAGAAAGGTGGGAGAATTACTGAATTAAAGTAGAAGCAAAGTCGAGGGAAGTAGAAATTCCCTTTAACTCTACATAGGAATTTTGTGCAGAAGATTTCTAAGTCTGGTAATCTTCTCTTGCAATACTTAACCAGAATACAACCCGAAGCTGCTGCTCGTTGCAGAATATCATCCCTTCCTCAAAAGGAAGGGCCTTCTCCATTAACTTCTGCGTGTTCCTGCCTCAGCAAGTGTGTTTGTGTGGCTCTACCTGAACTAGCGATCGTGCCAAGCGCTGGTGTCTACAGGTTGAAAGGTCCTCTTTAGAAGGCTGGCTGTATAAAACTTGCTAGAATGAAGTACTTCTGAAGTTCTACAGCACAGAGGTGTCTGTTCAGCTTTCTTCCCTCACTGAAGGGACTCTCCAACCACTCTGGGTGCACTGGCTGTATCAGGATACCCCTCACCAAATCTTGCCCAACACAGGAGGACATCCTTCTTGAGAAGCAGGCTCCTTATCACGGGGAAGGGCTATCAATCCTGTCAGAGTAAAGAGTGTCATTGTTGATCAAGGAACGAATCCTAACAGTAAGACCAGGCTCTGTCTGCCACTACTTCCCCATCAATAAGGCCCTACAGGGAGCTAGGGTACCAGATTGCCGCCTTCTCCTATTATCCCTTCAGCCTCTCTCTTAGGGATCCCCTTTTGCACTGCAAAAGCAAGAGCTTGGATCCTTTCTAATGCAAAGAGCCACTGACTGAAATAACCCTTCTGATTTTCTTGAGCTGTGAGATGCTTAGGCTTCATTTGCACGTAGATATACTGGGTTACTACTTGCTGGCTGCTTGTTCTAATGCTGCTGGATTTTTTCTATTTATTCAAATTTTGAACTTTATTTCTGGTATCAAATTTAAGAAATCATATGGTTTTATACCCAACATCTATTTCTCAGACTTTTTATCAGTTTCTCTAACAGGCAACCTTAAAATAGGTTCATGGCTTGTAAAATCAGTGCTGACAGCACATTTTAAAGCAAGCATTATCTGTGTTCAGCTTTGAAATGTTTAGTGCTCACAGAAAAACCACCCATATCTTCCCTGAAATACATAAAGCAAGCTCTCAAAAATCTGTTATGTAAGACGAAAACAGAAAGATGAGAGCTTCCCCCTCAGACGACAAAATCTTAACTTAATTCTGCACTCCAGTAATTAATGATTAGGAGACAGCTGTACATCAGATGCTGAGGCAAAGGTCTTTCAGCCTCATGTTTTGTGATACACCTGAGGCAGCTGATTTTACATCTTTCTCTGCTCTGCTGCATGTTTATTTATCTAGTACGTTTGAAGGTTCCTGCGTCCACCTTGGATGTGGTGACAGGTGCACCTTCCGCTGCTGGGGACATTAACTCAGTATTAGAACAGGAATAAGGGAAGGTGGCAGCTGAGCAGCTTCATGCTTTAACACGCCTCAGCTGTATTTAAAATCTGCTAAAAAGCTAATCTGCAGGAATGGTCAACAAATACTCTGTTTCTATTAAATCTGTATCATAGACCCAGTTCTGAAGGCTAAATGTAACTGAAATGTGCAAAAGTAAACAGCTGGCCCTTAACAGGGTAGCRTGCTACAAAAAAGATATGTTCCTAAAGAATTATGCAATTTCTCTATTTCTTAAATTACATATAACAGTGATGYACTGGCTACTCTGCACTATGTTTAGCACAACATTTCTAAGCATATGTTATGTTTTATATTTTAACAGCTTTACCAGTCTATTTTTGTCCCATTTCACTGCTGTAATTCCAGTGATTCAGCCTTTGATTCTTAAAAATTCTGACCCAATTTTTCTCTTGGCTGAAGGTGATCATTTGAGCAACACTTAGAGGCTTTTGGTGGGATCCAGCAGTAACCCCTATTAAAAACTTTGAGCAAGTATGTGGTGATGATGCCGGTTTTAAGGAAGTTTTAAAGCAGCAAATGTTTTTCTTAATTCTGCTGAATAATGATGCATTTTTTTTCTGTTATTTCTATTCACATCACTGCTGATTACTAAGATATCTGTGTGTAAACAAAACCTTTCTCATCTATAATTAGCCTTCTTCTCTGACTGATTAAGGGACATGCTTAGAATGAGGACATTCTTAAATAGAATGCTTCTATTTAAATCCATATAACTTCATAATCAAACATTAGGCACATAGGAAAAATACTTGGTAATTTATATGCTGTAAGATTACTTGAGCAGATATGCTCTTAAAATGTTACTTTTCTGGTTCCGCAGATCATAAAATCCTCTAGCACCTGAATTAGAAGTGACTTCATTCAGAGCCCTTTAAAAGAGAAGTCATCTATGCTTATTACCTTGTTCACAATATTTCTCATTTTATAYTTACACCTATTTTATCAAATACATCAAGTACCCTTTCTCAATCAGTATTAGCATGAGTAATGTGGAAGGTAAAACTGAAGCTATTTTAACATTCTTTTTTAATATAGCAAACATTTCAAGATGAAGAAGGAACTCCTGCTTAAAAATACCCTGTGCTTTTTAGCAGTTTTACTCTGCGCATGTGTGTAGTCTTTATTTTACTTCATGTGAAATGTCTGAGGTCTCAGAGGTAAGTGTTTGTACCTGTGGTACAAGTGTGAGGTCTAGCAGTTAGAACAAATCATTTGATTGACCTCTTAAGTTTTGTCCTCTTCTCTGGATATAGTTCTTTGTATGACATCCAACAACACACTTATGATGGCGATGTGCTGTGCATGTCTTTAAATGGGCATTTATCACAAAATAGTTTTTTACTGCCCTCACAAGCTGCAGGGGCTTACACGCTTGACCTTGCATGTCTAAACTGAGCTGTCACAAAAAAAGCAAAAGCAACATCTATAGAATGGGGAGTTTCTTAAGAGACTTTGTTGTCTTATTCAATTGTTTCACCCTATTACCATAAGTTACAGCTCCAGGTTGAAAGATACTATAAGAAAATTAAAAAAGGGAACAGAAGTTTCCAAGAGAATAGAAGGTGGTATCCTTAAATGTTCTCTAATATATCTCTGAATGCCTTTTASTATACTAAGTACACTTATTATATTAACCATAACTTCTCTTGATGAACAATAATTCCTAACCAGTGAATGAAAAAAATAAATAAAAATCAGAACTTAATTAGGAATCTTCTTTTGTCTTTGTAAATAATAGAATAATAAGATAGGATTGTATTTATATATGAAAGGGACACACATGCAAAATCATAGAATCACAGAATATTCAAGGTTGGAAGGGACCTCCAGAGATCATCTAGTCCAACCTTCCCGCTCAAGCAGGCACACCTASAGCATGTGGCACAGGGTGGCATCCAGGCGGGTTTGGAAGGCCTCCAGAGAAGGAGACTCCACAGCCTCCCTGGGCAGCCTGTTCCMCTGCTCKGTCACCCTCACAGTRAAGAAGTTCCTCCTCACCTGGAGATGGAACTTCCTGTGTTTCAGCTTATGCCCATTTCCCCTTGTCCTATCGCTGGCCACCAATGAGAAGAGCTTGTCCCCTTCTTCCCTGCATTCTCCCTTCATCAACTTATACATGTTAATCAGATCCCCTCTCAGCCTTCTCTGTATCCCCTCTCAGCCTATCAAAAGATAGGAAGTATGTCTTTATCCACAGTGTGCTGCATGAGCTCCAAAAGGGAAAATGGTCCCTTGACCTAATGATATGAGAACTATCTGCATAGGCTGCCTTCATATCTTTTTAGTAAGAAGATTTGACTGTCACTTTCAAGTTGCCCTCCAAGTGTTTTGTGAGATTCAGAGGACACAGTAAGTCTTGATTTGTGTGTCATCTCCTCAGCTGCCACCAGAAAAGATTATATTCCTTTTGGTGCCTCCTCATTTTGTTCAGGTCACAGCATTTTTGTGTTAGAAAAAAATTTGCAGTATAATTCATCTGAAAGAAAAATGTTCTTTGCCTTCCTGAAATCCTTTGCTACAGTCTGCTCTCCATGAGGTGAAGGGTATTTTGTGCCTTTCTGTACTGTAATGAGGGAGGCAATAATGTCTAAATATAGATATCATCGTGAATGAATACGTAACAGACTATGGTTACCTCTGTCAAGCAGCTACTTTTGATCAAATGTACATGTTTGTTTTTCTAATATTGCCATCTCTATGCRAGCTAGGTTAATAAACTTAGCGTGAATTAATGGATTTGGGACAGCCACAGATAATCTGTATTTTTTCATATATTCTAACAGTAATTTCTTAAGCATAATGGCAAAGTAGTCTTTAAACAGCTGATGTTGAGTATTTGAACACAAGTTCTAGCTTTGCTGACCTGCAGAATGGACTGGATACAGTAGGGATCATATAACAAATCCCTCCATTTAGACAAAAAGATCCATAACTGGTGCCACAGAGTTCTTCATGATCTACAAAATAAAACCAAAGCACAGAATAAAACAGACTTGCATGCTTTCATCAATAAACAGAAATCTTAAATTACACTTTCTGGGAGGAGAGAGGAGAAAGGAGGAAGGGGTGCTATCTGAAGCTACGAACAAATAAGGAATCAGTCTTGCCTTCCAGGCCAACAGCATACAGCGTTGTCTGTCTTACAAAATTGGTTTAAATGCCATTGTAAATGTATCACCATACCAGATGTCGAGCACCAAGATTATATGAATAAATGTAAGCAATTCCTTTTGCAGTTAGAGGAACTTTTGAATTCTCCACTATTATTTCTTTCCTGACCACAGACCATACTGAGCACAGAGATTCACGTGCTTGCTTCCCTTTATGAAGTCTGGTTTGTGCTGTTCCTGTGGCACAAACTGTCTTTAGCGGARCTAGTTTCTGTGAGAGATTCAGGGTTAGTAGAGATAATCCCACGATATTCCCAGCTGTGGGCCAGAGCATTCTGTATCAAGAATGGGGTAATTGCCTAAGTGGACACCACCAGTTTTGTCCCAATCAACTGAGAACCCTACCTGTTAAGTGTCACTGATACAGAAAACTGCCTGTTACAGTGTAWTTTCCAACATTTTTTTCCCCAATATGCTGCTACTATGAATTGTTAATGTTAAATCCAGTAAAGTTTTCTAATAAAACATCTAGTCTAGAATACTGATGTTGGCATTCATAAAGCCATTGGCCATTTTATGCTTAAATAGCATATCTAAATGCAAAGTTTCACTGTCTTAAAAAGCAGTTTGGATTTGAAAGTTGGGCTGCATATATGCATGATAAGTTTAGTATGTCAGTAACTGAGATCTTTTTAAATATATATTTTTTATATATGTGTTCAATCCTATTAAATCACTACCTCGGTCAAAACAAAACTAGAACAGTCTTCTGACATCACAAGTTTGAGAATTACTTGTTACCTCTCACCTTAAGTGTTGTTTTTGCTGTTATTTCTTCCAGAAGTTCTGAAAATAAGAATTCAGCTGTCTCGCTATTTTTTAGAAGATGTGTTCTGCACAAAATAGTGTTTAAAAGCAATGAAGAATTTCAGTTTTTTATCTCTTCTTCAAGAAACAAAGTTGATATTCCCCTGTATTCTTAAAGGTAATGTGAAGAAGCGTGGTTGTAAGATGAGTCCTGTAGGTCTGTGCGTGAAATAGGGGTGACATTTAAGGGTACTTGGAAAGACTGGCTACTCCTAACCCCATGCAATAGATGTGCATCCTGTTCCTGGAAAGTCTGCTCACATTTGACCTTGATGCAGTGGCACAGGATGTGGCCCAACCAAGAACTGTTTGGCCCTACCCTGTAAAAAGTTAAATGAAAATTTATTTTAACTCTAAAGCTTTATGTGCTTGCCTGCTGGCAAATCATTTACCACAAGTTCRCTATTAAGTCTCTTAAAATCATTTTGTGTAAGCAGCAATATATTTCCAATATGAACAAAATAGCAGTACTTGCTGCTACTTGCTGAAAGTACAAGAGTGACCCAGTRCAGAGTAGACATACAGACTTAATGMAATAAAATTRAAGTGGTTGTAACACTAGAAGAAAATTATTAATTACTAATTAGTGGTGGGTTTTGCTGAAAATCAACATTATTAATGTAATCCATACCTGCTTTACTTAARTACAGTAGCCTAGACCAAATGTGAATGATATAACTCTGTTTATAGGCAGGGGTGTATGGAAGCAATAGTTTATCCTTTTAAATTTATCCTTGATGCTGAAGAATATCAGAAGGGGTACAGGACAAGGAAAATCTGAACTGTATCAGCATCAGGGAAGCTTGATTCCTCTGAGTAAAGCTTATGAGCTTATGAGGTGCTCTAATCTGCTGCCGAGAGAAGCTCACGCAACCAGACTTGCTATCTCTGTTCTTATTTTGATTCTATTAGGCCTGTTTGATAGGGAAATCTGTATTTGATTTGGAGAGAATGTATTACTTTTTTTCATGAGTTAACAAATCATTTTAAACATACATTTGCATTTTTAGACTAGAAAGTCACATGTATACTATGCTGAGTAGTATAGTAAAGATAGAAAAGTTTCAAGTCAAGTGACAATTGGTGATTAAAAAAAACCTTTCAATTAATGCCTCTATAGAAATGCTGTTTTACATCATGTATATTTTTATATATCCCTCTATTTGAGAGATGAAATTTTATTTTATTGCTGGCAGCAGGGAGAACCTGAGGAATTAAATAAGATTTTTCCTAGTAACTTCACACTATGAATAGTCAGAATTGGCAGAGGTAACAGCAGCTTCTAAATACCTTGATTTTTCAAGTATTTTTTTCTGAGGATATGCACAGAGCACTGTCCCTATACTCTCTTGTCTGTTCCCAGTTAAACTTTTGTAACCCACATGTCCTTTTTATTTTATTTTTTTTAAAAAGGGGGGGGGGGGGCGGCAAGCAAACCTTAACCCCCAGTGTTACAACCCCAGGTGTTGACTCAACTGTCTAGCCTTGTCCAGGGGCTAAAATCCTATAGACTGCCTAAGCTTGAAGGCTTGAAGTCTGCTAAAACAAAAGGAGGAGAGGGGGAATGTTGACTGAAGATCAAGGGGCTGCTTTGTGCTTCCTGACTTACAAGCAACTTTGGACTGTATGCTGATCGGTCCCAAAAGCCCAGATTTTAGGACTGACCAAAGCAAACTTTCTGCTGAGAGCCAGCAGCATTGGCTGGTGAGAACTAGTTTGGAAGTTCCCAGTGACACCCGTGGCAATCACTGCAATTTTAGTGAATTGTGCACACACACGCTCATGCCCTGAGCAAAAAGACTTGAAAGAAATTACCTGTTCGCATATTATTCTGGCCACAACTTTTTTTCTTGGTGTCAGAGGCTATTCTTCTAAAACGGCACCTAAAGACGAACATTTAAATTCAGTATGTCTCTGTTACTCCTATTGATTTCCTCCCCCACCTCTGTTCTGATTAAAGAGGTATGYGAGTATCTCTCAGCCTTGCTGTTAAGGCGCTTGTTGTACTTATGCAGCAGTATCCTGTTTCGTTACATCCAAGTTTCATTAATTCACAGCTAACAGCAAACATTCAAGGGTACTGCCAAGTTCAATGAACCTTTAAAAGCATTGCTACAGATTAAAAATATTCACACTGCGACATATTTGAACCATGAAAAACTTGAAAAACTGTGCCATGGCTATTCAGAATTGTAGCATCTCTTGCTTTAGGAAACCTGCATTATCTCTCTGGCTAGCTAATTAAATCCTCTTTTGAGCCTTGAAAATCAGTGCATGTAACGAACCAGTCCTCAGAGTGCCATAATTATACACTTGGGTAGGATCTTGATGGCAGAATTGTTGCATTTTTGCAAATAAGAGTTTCCTGTGTAGAATTTCTTGGAGACAGTGCGTGTTTCACTTCAATGTTTCTTATCTCTGGACATCAGATGAAATTAGTAATCTAGCCTTTCCAAGGAGCTGAACAGAACTCAGCAAGGTCTTGACTTGGACGCTTATTTTTGAAAAACGGAGTAGGACCTCTGGACAGAAATCAATCCTCAGTGGACAAAGATAAACAGAAACTGATTCTGTGGGCAGGTCAACTCTATAACTATCTACCATCACTGTATTTTTCTTTATGTGTGGCATTCAGTTGTGTAGCCAAGGCTTACTGAAGCAAATGAGTGACCGAACACTGAGCAGCTTCTTGCTTGTCAATATTTGTCTTTTTATTTCTTAATTGTATTTAAAAATGTACATGCTGTTCTTAAAAATGAACTCTCAAATACTTAGACAAACTGTCCTRTATTGGAAGAAATGGAGAAATGCAGAGCAGTAAAAGAAGCCTTTGCTTCTTTTACCTTTAAAAAGGGATGAAGTCTTTATTCTCCCTGTACCATCCTTCTGAAAGTTCTTTCTCAGTTAAAAGGCTTTCAACCGTCAAATGATAAAATAAAATTAATCTGCTTTACTAGAAAAAAATCGTCTACTCCAGCCTTTAATAGTAGAAAAGAAACTTTCTGTAGATGCCCAGTTCAAAAATGTAAATGCTTTACTTACTGTACAAGCAGACGGTTCTGTTTTTCATGGGACCTTAAAGGGCTTCTCCAGTTCTTTGCGTCCTGTCTATAGGAGGAGGTCTGAAATGGCAGCTCCTGCGATTTGAGCCTGCAGCAGCAGGTCCCCACCCAAAGGCTGTCCTGCTCTCGGCCGTCTCACGGAGACGCAACTTGGCTTCCTTTGTGTACACAGCCGCGCACAGCTACAATAGCATGTGGCACTAAGGAACAAACCAACGTGATTCAAAGCAGAATTCAAGTCCTGGAGGGTTCGTTTGTTTTCTCCTCAATACATAAATCCTCCTGGGAGTGCGTGTTTTCAGCAGCCAAGATCTGGATTCCAGTGCACTGCTAAAGCTTCCAGTTTGCAGGATGATATAGTGCAGTGTGGGTGAGGTTGTAACAAGCACACACACCGAGGCCAGCTATGGACTGGGGCACAATCACGCACAATCTCGTGCGTATTCWCCGGAATTACCAGCACTGCAATTTATAGTTGAATGCAAAACATTCATGTAATGCAATTATATGAATTGCATCATAAAAATTATAGGCTGTAGCCAAGAAACTGATCAAAAGATCTTTTTTTATTAGAGCAAATAATCCTTTTACATTTACCTTGCCTTTTTCATGATGTGCCACGAAACTGTGTACTGTATAATAGCTCTTAGAGCAGAGATTAGGAGTTACTAATAAGTTAATATACTATACTATAGGAGATTTTATATAAAATAGTATATAAATAGGATATATAACCTAAATTTCTGTCTTTACCAGATTGAATTAGGTTGTGTTCCTTCTAACTGCCTAAACAACTGRATATGAAAGCCAAGAGGAGCTTTCATGTCTCCTTTCCTTCATCTCCTTGACAGGTATGTATCCCTCCAGCTCTGGTGTTGCCCCTGGGGCACATTGAGCCTTTTAATTAGATGATTAAACACACTAATCCTGCAGAAAACTCCAAGGGAAGTTCGCAAGCTATAAACGGACTGCAGAGGACAGGAGGACTTGAGGAAGACTATGGGGCTGCTGTGTGGTCCGTTTGGTTCCCTCCCACACACTTGTACGTTGCCCAACGTACGTGAAGCAGTGGCAGCAGGAGAGAAGCTGGGAGCGTGTTGTCCAGCAGAGAAGGGCAAATACTTCCTAAAAGCAATCCAAGGGGATGCATGTGTGTATGTGTGATTCCATTCTGTGTTTGAATTCTGATAATGTGTTGCAATTTGGGGTTAAAAATAACATTTAGAAGAAATGTTGCTGACAACATTTTTAAGAAGATTGGTAAGTAACTTGTTAGGCAGTCAGGTATTTGTATGTAAATGTTTTTCTCTCTTATTAAAAGTTCAAATATSTATAACAAATTGGAGTCCTAAAAAGAATAAACTGGACTCTGACTCATTAGAAAAATATATTGATAAATCAGAAGGAAAATATATAGTACAAATTGTTGCTAAACATTACGCTAATTTTTTTCCATTTGAAAACTAACTTGGCACTTGCGACTCCAAGGATCATTTGTGCATCTACCCAACATTTTCCATACTCTATGGCTTATTTTAAGACATCATTGTAATACATGCCCACAGAATTCTACACTTGCTCAAATATATATTGCCTTATCATGGGGGGTGTTTGAAAGATTAAAAAATTCTCAGACTTGATACAGGAAGTAATATGGAATTGAAAATGTCACGATTTTGCTCTGTTAGGTTACTTTGAAAGAATTTTAGGTATCTATCCAAAGTATAGCCCATTTTCAACAAATACAGTCTGGGCCTAGGTCTTTGTCATCTGAACTGAGATTAATAAYAATACCTTGCTTCAAAGATTACAGTATGTATATTAAAATTGTCATATATGTACACTGCAGGATACTATTTCTAAGTCTCCAATTGCTTGAAGTTCTGTGCTTCTTTATCTTCATATTCTGGGTCTGTTAAGGAGGGCATGAGTTCAGGAAAGGATTTAAATCACATGTTTAGGATTAGCCATATCCTAGTCCCACTTACATCACTAAGTTAACAGTGTGTTCAGGTCCTTTGCTGAGTTGGGCCTGTGAAACATGAACTGTATGTATGTATGTGTAAGTATCATGCCAAATACCTCCGCTGTGATGGAAATAACAGGTTACTGCTCTGTGCTGGGGCAACCATAGGTTAGAGTGAGCCGCACGGGAAAATCCATACATTTTACTGCTTTGGGCTACTGCAGCGTTAAGGGATTTTTTTTTATTATTATTAYTTGTTCGTGAGAACTGCTAGTGGACTTCTGGRCAGATCAAGGTCTCCCTGACAGACAAAACTGCAGTGAAGGTAGGCGATGGGTTCAGTTCTTTAAAAGAAATACACGCGAGCTGTATTGCAGGACTGAAAGCTGGGAAGAAAAATCTGAACAAAAGACTTGTTAGATTTATCTTTAAAAGACCCCCTGTGCATTACTCCCCATGCCTCCCCTGAAGAAACTTATTGTTCTGTGCCTCTAACAGCTACCTATTCCAAGCATCCACGAAATGCGKCAGCATCTCCAAAAGATAACTACAAGTCTTAATGAGCATGGACAGATTAAGAGAATKCAGTGAACAAATATTTGTTTCTATCTTTGCTATCTGAACAGTCTTAATTAATGTCCACATAAGCTCTTCCCACAAAATAAGATCACTTCAATTACATGATTATTTCAAAAATACACTTTGTTGCTTGTTTAGATTAGATTCTACTTAACAACTGTGTTCAACAATTGTTTTTTACTGCATTATGAGTTCCTAAAAAGTTTTAATACAAAAAGAGACAGTATCTCATTCTGTCTCTGATAAAGAACGCAAATATTTGTGCACTGAAAAATTAATAGTGTTTTCAGGAATAAAGCTAATTAAATTTCATTTTAAGATATGGCCCAGCTATCTATCAAGCAAACAATCCTCTGTGAGCATTAGACTAAAATGTGCTTCAGACTGCTTGAAAGAGAAGAGATTCCTGGCCTGTTTGAAAAAGTAGCTCGTTTTTTACTTTATAAGGAATAATGCAGAAGGAAGGAGTCTCCAGGGGAAACGGTGATTGCTCCTGTCTTTGCTTTCCACTTCTCTAACATTCTTCCATGAAAGAGCTAAAGTCAAAAGTTTTGAAGGCAGAACCTAACAATACTTTAGCAATAGCCTATCCAAACACTGGATTTGTGTAAGTTTTCTACAAAGTTGACAGTATGTTTGAGTAGTTTGCCTTTTTTTCTCAAAGCAGCCACGAAACAGATGTGAAAGCCTCTGCAGCAGCTTGCCCAGGTCATGAGCTGTATCCCGCTACTGCCATCATCCGAAAGCTCAGAAGTTCAATTCCTAGTCTCGTGAGTTGCAAACAATACCAGGTTTCCTTCAATATAGAATCTTTATTGTGATGTTTATGATCTGAGTACGCAAAGATCAAAGGGGAGATAAGTTGCTTAGTGTGGTGGTAAGGACCAAAGGGATCAAAAGGGAGATAAGTTGTGGCTGTAAAAGGACATTACCTCCTCCTTTTTGACCAATAAAACCTCTTTATGCATTAAGCCTGGCAATAATGCTTAAACTGCTCTGATCTGCATCAGCTGTAGTCTTAATATGGGAGCTGAGTCTAGCCAGTAGCTGCTTTTAGGTTTATATTAGCTATGCATAAATCTTTTAAGTGAGATAAGTCAAATGACATATTTTAATACAAATTTAMACCATTTTAAAATACAGTTAATTTCCTATTATACACATGCAGAGTGCATCATTGATAGATGCTTTATTAACAGAATATTTAATGTATAAAACATAATACACTTGTATGTAAAGTAGCATGATAAAACTATATAATCTCTATATTATGCCAACATTACAAATAATAGATTTGTTTTCTGTAGATAACCCTCTGAAACATGCAAGGCACTTCTTGGAAGATCATTGTCATTTCGGAAAAATAGTATTCAGAAAGAACAAGTGACAAATATAAAAATCATACACTACCAGAATTTTCTGTGAGAAATGGTAAACTTTTCTTTAGACATACCTCCAGTAATCTCTATTGTTAGTTAACAATCCTTCTTGTTTCCAGTAAATCCATATTTCTTTATTGCAAGTGCAACTGTGATATCAGGTTCTGCAGACTTCCACCCTTGTTTAGCTTAATCTTTCAAATAATAATCTATGCTATACAGACAGCCTTAAAAGAAATCATTATTTGAGGGAGAGAAAACGTTTGTTTCGTTCTGTACCTTTTTCACACTGATTTGTGAATCAGGATACTTTGCTCAGACTTAGAAAGCTAAAAGGAGATCTTTTGTTCTCAAAAAGGTGTAGCAATTTTGGTATTCCCAAATGTCAGCTGCAGAGAACAGCTGGAGCTGTCTCCCGGACTGCAGGTGACACCGAACTGGAGGGAAAAGCCAACATGCTTGAGAGCAAACCTGCCGTTCAGGAGAACCTGGGCAGGCCGGAGGGTGGGAATCAGGAGCCTTGTGACATTAACTGGGTGCAAACGTGGAGTCGTGCACATTCGTGGCATTTTAGAGGGGAAACACAAGGAGACAGGAGGGAGAGACATAAACATACAGGTGCTTTGGCTCCAGCACCAGTTATTTTGCATTTTAAAAGAAGTTAACATATGTCAGGACTGTTACTGACACATGAACAGATGGAACAAATGTGGCAAGTGGCACACACAAGGTAGATGCCCCAAAATAATTTAATTTGTTGTTTGTGTATCTGAATATGTCCTGTAATAATTTATTACAGCAATTTATTAGAATGGTTAAATGAAGTAAAAATTTCTAACTTTTTTCCCCCTATTTCTAGCAACTCTCAGCTGCTACTCTGGAACAAATGACGAATTGTTGGTATACTACAGTGTGAAAGTAATATTTAAATAGCACCTGCCAGAGACTGTTTCTAGTCCACTGGCCCACAAAAAAAAAAAAAAAAAAAGAGCTAGTGAAGAAAATAGATATAATGGTCAATGATGAAGTACCCTGAATAAAAACATGCAGTAAGGAGCCATGACGGCAGCTAGAGAGGAGACGGACAGGGGTAAATTAACTTAACATAATATCTGCTCTTGTTTCAGGCAGAGCAAAAGTCTGGTCAGGGTAAAGTGTGCCCTCTCAGCAGGAGAAACAGCAATGAATGTCAAAGCCAAAGGTRACCAGGAAAGCTTTGCTGGCAGTTCATGCAAGTACAAATGTGTTTTAGTCATGCTGTAAGCTACAGAATGTCAAACTTCTGAGGGCCAGACTAGCTAACCTGTCATACATGAACATGAGGCTGTACTGCAGCTCCATGTGCTTTAGCATGGACTTCTGATATGCACTATTTTGGAAAGATGGAATATTTATAAACAAATATTTCAACAGTATATCTTTGCAATATATCTGCAGGGTTACATTCTCTTGGGTCATACATACATAGCTCGCTTTTGTAAGGCACAAAAAGGTAGTTTTGGTCTTCGGAGTTTGYCATAATCTGTACAAACATGGAAGAAGACTTAAGTTTTTATATAAAATCAGTGTATAGAGCTGTGTCAGTGCGTACTGAGTAGCATATAGTGAAAGGGGAGGAATATTAAAGACAGGGAAACATCACTTGAGTGCTTTAAATAAGCATAAATTCAGATATGTTTATGTGTTTAATTGAATGGCTACAGAGAATGTGGGAGCCATTTCAAGTATTTTTTTTTATTTTGTTTTTAAATGCCAGTCAATATTTACAGAATTTCAGTTACAGATATAACTGCTAAAGTTCTACAACCTTCCTAAGTTAGCAAAGGAAAATATCCTACTCTCACATTTATTCTGCTTTTAATTTAATCTGAATTAATAGGAGATCAGTGGGCTGAATCTATTGCAACCTATTATTGTCAGGAGGGAAAATAGTTGGTTTTGATTGATACGACATGTACTATTTATACCACAGTTGACAGTGCTTTTAAATATGCCAACTGCTGTCAGCTTTTTCCACAGACTATTTTGCAATACGGTTTTCAATTTCACTGGCAAATCTGAGTTCACTTAAGCAATTATGTCAAAAATCTCAACTTTCTAAAGACAGGGAAAAGACAACCTCAGATTTTGCCTTTTTTCCTGGAAAGTCTAGTTTCTCAGAACCGCATGGTACACTTGTGCCCTACCAGGTTAATAGAGCCCAGTGCTGCTGTTATTTGTGCTAATGGAGTTTGTTACAGACTGGTGCCCAAGGAGGAGTTTAACCCATGGATATTTAATAAAATGGATCAGTACTGCGTAGATGACTGGCATCTAGCACAAAGAGACACCAAAGTCCGCATTTTTTGAACAATTTTTGCCCGTTTCCAACGCCTGCCCCGCTCTAAGCTTTTGGGTAGTTCTTTGGGTAGAGGGGGCGGGTTTGCTCCCGGTAATCCCCCTCGGCCATTCCCGGGACGGGCTGCTGACTCAACGCTCCCTAATCCGCCCCGCGCTAAATCCCCGGCCCTTTACGTAACCCGGGGTGGAGGTGGGGGGGAACTATGAAAATCCCGCAGGTCGGAGACCTCGCGGCGGGGACATGCACGAGGGGACAGCGGCGCCTCAGGGCGCCTCAGGGAGGAGCGGCCTCTTATGAGGGGGCGGGGCCGCCCCGCCCCTCGCCCTCCCCAGCCCGTAGTACTACGGTCGCTCCGCCTCCCGCCGCCGCCATTGGCTCGGTGCTGCTCACGTGACGGGCGGCGAGCACAGGCGCGCGCGCGCCCCCTTTAAAACGCCCCCCTGCTCCCCCCGCCCCTCCGCGAGCCGTTAACGGTTTTCGGAGACCGACCGTTGTTTCCTAGGCGACCCGGGGGGAGGGCAGCGCAGCGCGCGACGCGTCTTCCTCGTCGTGCCCCCAGCTCCGCCGCTCCCTCGTGAGGCCGCGCCGGTGCCGCTGCCGGCAGCAGGTACGTGGCTCGCTGCGCTGCGCGGCCCCACGGCAGGCGGGAAGGCGGTGCGGGTGGCGGCGGCCGAGACAGCCTCGCTAGCCCCGCCGCGGCCGGGGAAGTTTGGCGACGGGCGCTGCGGCCGGGGAGGGGTCCCGGGCCTGGCCGGGCCGCGGGCGCCGGGAGGCAACTTCTGACGAGCGGCAGCGGCTGGCGGGAGGCGGTTGTTGTGCCGGAGGCTCCGGGCCCCTCCGCAGCCTCTACTGTAACCTGCAGGTTTTCCCGGCACCCGCAGTCCCGCCACCTGCCCCGGCGAGGGGAGGCGCGGCAGCGTCCCTGTGAAGCCCGGCGTGCCTCCTAGCCTGGGGCTTTTCCCTTTCCCATCTATAGCACTGAGTAAATTTAACCCCGGGGACATTTTGTGGTCAGTATATAAGGTGCTGTCTGTCCGGATTGGTGTGCTGTGCCAGGAGAGCCACAGCAGCTTCACTCAGTGAGATGGATAAGTGAACGTGCCTAGTTCCTGAGCTTGTTTGTCCATTTGACTACTGTGCTCAGAAATAAAATCTGTTAAACACATCTCCCATAGGATTTCTGGATGCTTGTGTGYCTACTAAAGAGCAGAGCATTCTCCTAATATGGTTAGAATAAGTGCAAGARGTGGTATATGCAAAAGGAGCAAAATGAGCACAGGTGCAGGGTATTTGTAGCTGTGTCTGCATGCAGATGCTAATGAGGAGTCTTGTTTGCTGCATGCAGGGCACCTGTGCTCAGATAGGACTGTGGGATTCCTGTTTTGTCCTAGGACTTACTACCTAGTTTTGTGCAAGCCAAAGATTTTAAGYGAGTTGTGTGGTTTTAATGTTTTTTGAGATACGTAGTGCTTGAAGAAGGCTCCAGTGAGGCTATATTGACACTTGGTAGTTTTCTGGTAGCTCCTGGGAACATAATCCAGGTTCCTAAAGGACTGTTTTAAAAGGCTTATTAAYGTCATGGTCGTGTTGGGGAAGTTCTGTATGAATTGGTGACACAGAAGTGTGGTATGTAATTAATAGAATGCAGAAGTCCTCCAGCATGGAAGGAAAGCTGAGAGCTCCTGTTGTGAGCAAGGTATATCTCATGAGGCAGTGCAGATGAGGAACAGGCTGCTGTCACTCAAGCAAGATGCTGATTAAGGAACAAATGTGTGCTGTGTTATGTTTCCTAAGCACCATTAGGATATGCTTGCAGTTAGTGAAGTGACTCATTTCTCTGCGAGTAAAGAGCCCATGTTCGTGGGACCTATGTATTTCTGAGCAAAGTGGAGTTTTTGCAGCTCCTGATGCCATCTATACACTGGATTGCAAAATTGGTTCTCCTTTCTCTGTATACAGGTATTTCTTTGCATGAAGATGAAAAGAAGTGTAGGTTATATGAGAATTCAGGTGTGGTAGTGGTGTTACAACTATGCTCAGCTCAGGAACTGGCAGAATRCATAGCAAGAGCAAGCATCTGTTTTTCCAGCTTTAGAACTGGAATGGCAGGTGAGCTGAAGGTCTTGACTCCAAGAAATTTATGAAAAGGTCAGTTAGAAAATGAAGATGTGAGTACTTGCAGTGCAAGTACTAGTGAAAACCTGCTACTCAGCTGAAGTATTTTCGGGTTGTGACTGGCAGTGCAAATGTGGAACATGATGCATTGTGCAGCCGTTCTGCCTGTCGCCGTATCCCTTCCCAAAGGTTAGGTATATGCACACTTAGAGTTCTGAAGGTGCCCTGTAAAAGATAYGTGCAATTCCGTTACCCTTTCTTTACCTCCACCGTGTGCACACATTTTGGGTGCTGTTGTACTGTTTCTTTAGCTCGGGTTTGGTGGTGAGATGCTAAAACCCCCTGGCTAACAGCTTGCTGCCTGCTCCACCTCTGATGGTCTATGTGGTTCCATTCCTGACCATAGTAGTGTTGCACCATGGATCACTTCTAGCCCAGATGGGCAGAAATAGCAAAATGTCCAGCATGGTTTTGGTGTAATTGCATGTGATTGCGTCTAAATTAGAAGTTGGACTAATGGCATCACCCTACAGGACTGTGATGTGACTAAAGTTTATGCATGTTTTCTATATTAAGCTATGGGCCTTACCTGGCAGTAGAACAGCAGTTAAATGTGTTGTATAATGTATGTATGGCCTATGTACTTAAAAATGTAGTAACTAGAGTCTTGCGTCAGTATGGTGCTCAATTTAATTGCTTCCTGAGTGTTTCCTTCACAGACTTTATCCTTATGAGCACTGAGAAACTAATATTGTCATAGAGTGAGGTGGAGTCTCTTCTGGCTTGTGTGTTATTAAAAATCTCAATGGAGTGCTGTTTGCAGAGTTGTTACTGGCAGTGGCAACATGAGGAATGATTTAATTCTCCTCACTACTGCTAGTCTGATACTAGGATCCTGTAGAAACTAGCTGCAAATCTTTTCTTAGCCATAATGGTATGAGGAGCTGCAAATTTAGACTGTATGAATTACCTTTTGCTAGTATGGTTGTAAGCATATTGTAATGATGCTCAGGAAAAATTTAAAGCAGTACATGTTGTTCTTACGCGTTGTCCTCTCCAAGTGACATATTCACATCAGCCTGCATGGGGAAACTTCAAGTGAAAAGTAGTAAACCTCAGTTAGTAGCCCCATGGAGCAGGACTTGCCCCATGCCTGTTGCTCGACTGGAGAGGCCTATGCCCAATGCGGATCAAAGGCTTTTTCATCACCAGTCTTAGCGTGGTGGAGGCTGAGGATGAGCAAAAGGGAATGGAAGGGTTACTTTAGTCTCTCATATTTCAGTCCACCTATTTGCTGGACTTAGGCTGTGGCTTGACATGAGTGATGTATTCAATTCTTAATTTACTGATGGAGTCATAATGCGTTCTCAATTACAGCCATATAATCCTATCAAAATTGTTGGCTTTGCATGAGTGTAATGAAAGGCAAACTCTTGTAAACTTGAGTAAGAAATAGAGGTGTTCGAACTTTAATATTGAATTTTAAATCATTTAGTTAGAAATATCTACTTATTGCTTTGTTCAGAAACATAATATTCTTCCCCTAAGAATTTGCCTGCCATGCTTCCTTTTTATCGCCTCTAAGGTTCTGTGTTGCTTTGCTCCATTTAACTGTAAGCTTTTTACACCGTGTACTGTCCTTTCTTGCATTGTGTAAAGTACCATGTGCACCTATGGTGCTATACACACATAAAACTTCACTACAAACATTCACTCAAATCTTGAAGTTGCAGAGTTTAAGTCAGAAAATGCCAAATTTAGAATAGTGCAGAACTAKTTTTGCCTGTGTTGAAGCATCATTTTCCCCAAATGAGTCCAAGATTTGCAGGAGAAATAGTACACGATGTGAGCTTAGTAGTTAAACTGCAAGCATACATGCAAAGCATAGAGAGCTCAAGTCATGCACTGCTTTAGATACACTCTTGCCTGATCTTAAGCACCTTGACTTCCAATCAAGCTAACCTTCTTGCAGATAAGCTTCTGCTATGGAACCTCTTAACATGCATTTTTACTTTTTTTTTCTTAACTATCTATTTTTATTAATTACACTATTTTATACAGGTGTAACAAACTTCCCATGTTTGCCTTGCAACAAACCCATAAGTGGGATTTGAGATCATAAGTGGGATTTGAGACTGGCGGTATTTTCTATTTCAGGTAATTCCCTTATAAACAAACCTGTCCCGGAAAGTGATGTGTAAAGTTTGACCTCTTTCATCATCCTCTTTGGCCACTTTGTTTCTTGCCTCAGCAACTCAAAATGTTCCTTGATGCACTGCCTGTCACTGGGCTGTCATAGGGTAAGCACAGCCATCATGTATGTGGGATTTCTGTTCAGGACATCAAATGTCTAATTAACAAAATAAGTAGGAAGACCTTTGAGCTAGACTGACTAGAGTGGCATTGAAACAGTATTCTGCTGTTTCAGGGAGCATCAAAGACCCTGCTAACAAGGCAAGTGCCGTAGCACTTCAGAAAAAGGTGCAAAGCTCTTTGTAGTGGAAAGTGCTATAGGTTGGTATTTTGAGCCTTCCTACCAGCTTTTTCCACTAATAGGAACGGAAAATTTTGTCAAAATACAATTCATATTCAAGTTAGTGAGACTTTCAGTATTGACTATTACTATTTTTAGTATTTTTCCAGAAATACTTAGTATTTTTCCAGAAATACAGAAAAACTTTTTTCAAGTGAGCTAAGGGGTTCCTGTCTGTTTAAGATTTTAATTAACATTAAGCATCCAAGATAGAGATGTGATGTGCCTCAGCTAGCAAACAGTCCTTTTTTTTTTTTTTCTCAGCATGTAATTGCTGTGTGGATTTTACAACCCACATCTAATAAATTATCACATTCTTATCTGGAATGATAAACTTAAGCTGCTTTGAAAACAACTTTTTTTTTCAAGTAGGAAAGTGAGGTATGGGTCAAGAGGCATAAGTTAACTTGCACAAATGTCTTAACCAAAACACCCTGAGTGGAGGGTGTGTGTGTGTGTGTGTTCTTTTTCTCTCTTGTGTTTATTTACTGTTTTTCTTCATCACCAGCTGCCACCTTCATAAATCTGAATGCAGTGTGTGTGTGTTCCTCACATTCCTTTACTATTTGGCTTTGAAAAGAAGGACTTTCGGACCAGGAAACAATGGAAATAATTAAATGGAAATGTTCAACTTTGAAAGGTGTTATTTTTAGGACTAGCTCAAAAGGGCAAGTGCTCCTTGGAGATGTTGTTATAAGTGGCCAGATTGCTTTTTCCAACTGGAGGAGCAAAGCAGGGCCTAGGAAGTGCTGGGGTTTACTTAAAAGTTTTTGACATCTTATCTCTGGGTGAAAAGAAAAGCAGAGCTGCTGAAAACTCTTGGTGCTGCCCTGGAAAAGCCTCAGCTGGGCCTTGCAGGATTGTCCCTGTGCCGCAGCATCCCCCTCAAGCCCTGCGGGTGCCAACTATTCCCCATGCTCATTCAGCGACTTTTCTCGGGGACATGATGCTCTTGGATCAGCACAGATGTGTCCTGCCTAGTAAGGCTTATGTGGAAGGGGACATCTCTTTCCTAGCTGCCCTCAGTGCTGCTCTTATATCCCTGTGGCTTGGATCCTAGCAAAGTTCACATGTCCTTCTGGGGAGGGAAGATGCCAGCAGGTGCCATGGCATGCTGCAGAGACATTTGTCTTGCTGCTTGCCTGCCTTTTTTTTCTGGATTTGTATTTGCTCACTTCTCCACCTTTCAGCTAAAGGGAGCATATGGTATTATGCTGTCCATCTGGTTGCCACTTACTGTGTAATCTTTATGCAGGCAAATTTGGCGCCCATCTTGTGTTTCTTGTGTAGGTAAAACTGTTAACAGAATGACAGCTGAAGTGTTTATTCAGCACTGCAAATGAGAATTGCAGAAAGTGAATGTGAAAGCTGCTTGCTCCATGTTCCCAGTCGTTTCTTACCTTAACAAACATGCTATCCTATTATTAAAAAAATAAAATTAGTATCTCTGAGCTGTGAGCTCTTCATATGTGGATAAAAGGCAAGTCATGTCCCAGAGGATTTGCAGTCTAAATTAACTTTTAATTAGAACAATGGCATTGATGCTTAGGAAAGCTTTAGTTATATGGTTAGTATTGTATGCACATCTGCAGAAATTCYGCTGATATTTCTGCTTTCCAGGAAGAATCTAGTGCACTTTGTGTATTTTGGGGTATTTGTGTTTATAATCTATATGGAAAGAATCAGCACTGTAAAAGAGAAGGTTAATTGTCTTTGGTCACAACATAAGCCTATGTACATTCAKTTTTTTCCGTGTCATCTGATTTCAGATTACTATTGTTGAAATCATAACAACCAAACTCTCTCCTAGCTCTCTAAAGCAGTACTGCTGAGGAAATAACTAGGTCACACTTGTGTTATAATATTCTTAGATATTACCTGAAGAAAGGAGTAAATCCAGAATTAATTTTTTAATATGACAATTTGTGTTAAGCTTTCTAAGAACCTGGATTAGAGACCTACTGTACTGTTTTTGAATAGTATGTAATAGTGCATCAGCTGTGTTTTTATAAAGGAAACCCAGTCCTTAGTATACAGCTGTGAAACTAGACTGCCCAGTGGGAATACTGATCGGTGGCTGGGAGAAGAAAATATTTAATGGCTTTTGTTGCAGTCTCCTGACAGCTGTGTGCTATCTATTGGTGATCTATAGCTGAATATCTGTAGTAATATCACTGGGCAAAGCTGTTCTACTACCTGAAATTGCATGGTGGGATCTGTAAAGTCCTTGCTGAGCTGGATCTTGTAGTATTTTGGGTGAAGCTAATTCTTATGATTAATGTTAAAGACTTTTGCTCCAGAAATTCTTGCAGCCTCTGCATATTAAGCTAGGTACTGCCTAGCTATAGAATTTTGTAGAAAATGTGGAAAAGCCCTGTGTTGCCTTGATGACAGCTGCTTTTTAGCAACTCCTTGCGCTCTTCTGAAGTTTGGGAACTATGGAAAGACACTTATTAGTGGCTCAGTGTTGCATCTGAACTGAATGTATGTTTTTCTTCTGAATCTTTGTGATGATTTTTGTTTGAAGAACAACTTTGAGTCTAAGACAAATTTGCCCTTGGGGGAGGAAAAAGAAAGACTGGAATCAAAGTAGCTGTAGCCTGCCAAGGCTTGTCTATATAAGCCCTGGATAGAGTTAACTAGTGAAGAAAGAAAAATGTATCCATGTGTGACACTTGAAGGTAGGGCCAATTCTCAGTGACTGAGTAGTCACTGCTAGTGTGTCTGACTTATTTGCTAGGTTAAATAAAGTAAGTATAACTGCTTTTCTAGTGAGAAATTGTCTGCGTCCTCACCTAAACAGTCAGCTCTTACTTTCACAGACAGCCTCAGCAGAGAGATTTAATAAACTGGGTGAACATGTGAATAAGTGAACTTTCTTCTGCTTCACACCTTCTCATAGGGGTTAAGGCATGTGAGAAAAAACTGGCTGTGAAGTCTAGGCTTGCATGGTATATTTTGTGAGGAGGGAGAGGACATCATGCCCCTAGCACCTGTGTATTTTGCAGGCTTCCAAATTTGCTTTTAGCTGACATCTAGGACAAAAATTTTTTTCACTCAAAAAATTGAATGCACAGTGTTTTCATCTGCATTTAAAAAAAAATAAAATAAAATCCGTTTACTTTTTGTATCGCTAGCTTAGTAGGACAGGAACTATCTCTAGATGTCCAGAGTAATGTAATCCTTGTCCTGATCATGATCTTTTAATGAAGCAATAAAGGAAGCTGTAACAGTGAACTGTAAGTGGTCAGTTTGGGATCAAGATCAGGCAGTGGTGATATTTTGCTTCCTTAGACTAATTTTGCTTATGCAATTTATTATAGCATTTCACAGGCTCTGTTATTGTTTGCTGTCAGTCTGACTAGATACGTGAGGTGTAGCGCTTGAACAGCATGTGAGGCGTAGTGCATGAACAGTATTTGGCAGGAGAATAACATAGTGTGCCTGAAACCGTTAATTATATGCTGTAGGCAGCTCTGTCTAGGTCAGAAGACACTATTATCAAATATAGTAGGCATTCAGAACTTGCACAGTTGCTTGATTATGCATTGAATAATTGGTGTTTGTTAAGCAGATAATGGCAATGTTTGCCTGTAGAGCCTAGGTTTAAAATGAATGATTTGGAGTATTCACGTTTTAAATAATCCGTTACCCAGAAGGAAATTGGGCAGAGTTTGGTTTTAAAAAAAAAAAGGGGGRRAAAAAAAAAAGAAAACCAAAAAATCCCTGAAAYAGCAGCAAAGGCTGCCTACTCTGTCATGTGCCATACTTCCACTTTGTTCTGAAAGTGTCTAAGTTTATTGCTTTATATTGCTTTATTGAATTTTATTCTGTATTTGTGTTTGCCTGCAGCAAAGCTTAGCACAATGCAGACTGTTTAAACATAGCCTGGAGGAATGAGGTGGGGTAGGGGGAGGGAGGGAAAAGAAATAAACCTTAAACATTGAAGTATGAAAAACAATGGAGAAAAGGAAGGAAAACTGCTTGAAGTAGAGCAGGTTTATGATTAAGGCACCAAAGTGGGAGTTAAAAGAGAATAGTATGTCATTCTCTGTCATATGCTTTATTTTTCTTATTTGTAGAAGATAAAGCCTTTCTACCTTAGAGGTAATTACTTGCTGTCTTTTTAAAAGTACTTCAACAACTGTTGGAAAAATAGGCAATTATTGACCACAGTGTCAAGGACTGATAATTTTTGCAACTGTATCAATGTGATAACTTTGAGGAGAGTTTGCAAATGTGAGCTCCTACTTAGAGGTATCAGTTTGGCAAAATGCCTGTTTGCTTCTTCTGTCTTAACGGGATGGAGAGGTAGGTAGTGATGGTCAGACCCTCTTCCCTGAACTTCATTTGCTTACAAGTCAACTATCTTATTTTCTTTTTCCCAAACTGTTGTTCAAGGGAAAAGCAATAAGGCAATAAAACAATTGCGTTAAAAGACAGCAAAAAGGTCAAACCTGCTTAAAGTAGTGGTTCTATGGTACTGAGTCCAGCAGATGCAGTTAGGGACGTGTGCTCTTCTGTATCTGTGACTGCTCAGCCTGCAGAAGATCAAGCGTGCCTGGCAGCAGAGGAGTTACATTTTCAGTATGAGCTACATACCCATTCAAGCTGGGATCAGCACTCTTTGCCTTCCCTAAGGAGATGGCAGTGATTGTAGCATTTATCATGCATAAAGGAATCTGTCGCACTGTATATAGTTGCCAAAAGACATTTGAAAAATGGGGACAAAAAGCAGTGTCCAGAATTTCAGAAACCCTTTAGCCAACAGAGCTGATAATGAATTAAGGAAATCGCTCCTGCAGGCCTTACTTGAACCTTGCTTTTAGTAACTGCAGTAGTTGTGAGCTGAGTACGTTTGGTCATATGCCTGTGAAGGAATCGGGAGAATTGTCTGAAATGCTGATCTGGTGTGAAACCACTGGCCCATGTGGCAGAGTAGCTCTCCTCTAGGCCGAAACTAATTTTTGTTCATGGATGAAATTGAGGCCAACATTAAAAATGATTACTTGGAGCAGAAATGATGTGAAAGAATCTGAATTATCAGGGTTCAAGGAAAAATCCCAATGTTTACCTGTATAGAGTTTTTTGGTGGYTGTGGTATGTGTTGGTGTGTGTGTGGGGGGGTTCTTTTGTTTGTTTTTGTTTGAGCAAGGAGCTTGTCTGCGTTACTCGGGATTTAGAAAAGTACAGACTGTTGCTGTCGACCGTTGCTGTCAGGCAACCCTGTGAGTCTGAGCAGAACAGAGATGTCAGATCAAGGGTAGAAGTTTTCCCACAGTGGGAGAAAGCTGAAGTAAACTGAAGTGTCGGAGCAGTTTTCCAAAGGAAAACTTTGAAATTCTGGACTTGGCTAGAGTCTTCTGTGCTTTAAAACAGTAAAAAAGACACATCAGTGCTTCTGACTCGGTTAAAAATTAAGACTGCTTTCTGGGAAACAGTAATAACAATGCCCCTTCACCAAGTGAGGGGAAAGGACTTGATGGTGAAGATCCAAAACAAAAATGATATGTGAAGGTGCACTACACAACCTGTTTTTTCACTTCTCTGCTATTGGTCATGAAGCTTCATGGTGTTTCTAACGACTTTCCTGTATCTGACTTGGTATTCTTTCTCCTTCACCCCTAAGGGACCAACCTATCTACAAGGATTCTTGTGACTTGGATAAGGAGGGATGTGTGTGACAACAGCTGCTGAATATCTGCTGTGGGCCCAGCTGCCTCCTTGCTCACCTGCCAGGTCAGTAGGTGTCAGGCAGATTCAAGTTGATAATTACTGATTTTTTCAATCCAAATTCAAAGAGGGATGAAGGTATGGATATGATCATACCTAGTTTATGTATGAGGCGGATGCTAGGGTTGTATCCAAGCCTCAGTTTTTTATCAGCTAGTTTTTTTTGTTGCTCTTAGTGTATGGATAAATGCATTTTTAAACTGCTCGGGTCTTTCCTCAGGGTGTTTTAATGTAACTGAAGTGTTGGAAGAGACCTTTCATGCTTGAGTTTTGATAAGTTGAGATCTGTCAAGTGTTATTCCTTGCAATCCATTTGTCTAGAAAATCCTACTGCATGTTTTTTTATAAATAATTAAGAAAGACCACTGGCTTTTCTGATTCTAAGCCAATATCTATGCCACATTTGCTGATTTTTTTTTAAATGTGCAGGTCAGGTTAGAAAAAACAAGTTAAAAAAATAACATTTATTGGACAGATTTATCTAGGGTATGCATATGTACACATGAGCATCCTGTTTTTTTCAGGAGTTCTCATCAAGGTCATCCTGCTGCAGGACCGCAAGTTTGATTCATGTTTTAAAATTAATTTTCATCCTGTTTTTGTGATGACGTTTTTATGCTATCATATAGCCCAAGTAGCATGTGGCTACTTAGGAGATACTTGTAAAATGTACCACTTAAACTGGTTACAAACTCGTAGTGCAGAAGGGGGAAAAGCAGCATACTGTGACCAGTTATTTCTATTCACTGTCAATGGAGCACAGTTTGAGAACATCTGGATTGTAAATGCATCTCTTAAACTTGCATTGATTGGTTCATTGGGCTGTCAGCCATGAAGTACATTTTTGGATACTTGCTGCAAATCTTATTGCTTTGAGAGATGCCAAGTCTGTAGTTAGTCAGCTACTATTTTTTATTTTTTAGTAAGTAGGAAAAAAAAATGGTTTGAGTTAACTATTTCATTTGCTGCTGTGTTGCAGATCACAGTTTCTGTGGTTATACTAGTGAGCTTCAAACTAGCCAGCTTGGCAACTAGTATGAAAGTCCAGCAGCAGTAGTGCTCACTCACTGTGAGCTGCTGTAATCCTTCTCTCTAATCCTAAGAACAACAGTTGGCCTGGACACAGYAAAACAATTGTTTTTTCTTGCAGTAAAGGCATTTCCTCTAGAAGCAGGGGGGGGCAAAAAGTTGTGTTGTGTGTCTGTGTTAGGACTCATCTTTAAAAGAGCAGAGACAGGTGTAATTTGGCATAAAGTGAATGGGTTGATTTCTTGCTGAGTGCAAGCTTGGATGCTATAATTATGTGTATTACAGGTATTCCTTAGGATTTTTGAGATGGGAAATGCTGTGGCTGCGAGTAGGAGGAATTGGTTCTGCCTTATGCATATGTGGTGTGCCTGACCTCTGCAGCAGTTTGGGTTACTGATAAACTAAGAATGTACAACTGCCTGGATTGATTGGTCTAAACTTATTTGTGTTGGTACCATCGGAGCTGGAAGTGTGCTGGTGTTGGACAAAGGCACTCTGCATTTGGACCTCCTTGTCCATGGCAGATTTTTTTTGTAGTCTATTGGATGCTGTCAATTGCTTGTCATTGTATTCTCCAAAGCTGCTTATATGTGGTTTGGGCAATTACCTTTTTGTGCTTAGTAGGGGAAGGATGCTTGTGTTATCTGTGTCTTAAGGAATGGTCATGTGCTTTTAAGAAAAAAATCTGTAAGCAAAACTGTTTTTGCAAAAACTGCTCTGATTCAGCACAGAAGTTTTCTTGTCCTGTAACATTCCCTGTTTCTCATGCTACTTGTCCTAAAAGCTCATATTTTCAATATCACAGAAGAATCACAGTTTTAAGCCCACCTGTGCTTGAGTCGTTTGGCATACATTAGTTAAACTGTGATCTTATTACTGCAAGCATTGTCTCAAATTAAGTACCTATATAACTTCAAATAACACCTTATAAAGTACCTTATGTGTCTGAGTATTGCATAAGAAAATAAGAGCATGTGCTGTTTTTCTTGCTTTAGTMGCATCTTCACTTTTAGGACTGTAAAAGTCAAACACTTGTGACTATCTTGCCATTTTTCTTYTCTTCATCTCATATGAAGTTTGGAGTGGAGACTTTGACAGTTATTGCTGAGAACAGATGCTTKATACCATCTGCAGGCTTTCTACCCTGTGTGTTTTTGAATGTTGTAAGCCAGTGTCAGGTCATGAGCTCTGAGTTGTCAACGTGTTTGAAACCAATATCTTGYAAGTGGGAGGAGTAACACAAGGGGATAGCATGGTTTCAAGGAACCAGTGTTGTAGAGCTATATGCAATAGAAATGAATAATTATTACAAGATAGGGCACCTTAAAACCTCTTCTGACCTTCTTGGCAAGCAGTTTGTTTTGCCTGTATTAGGTCAGGGTCAGATGCAGCAAGTTTCTGATCTGATGCCAGTGTAATTTTACTTTCTTGCAGATATTCTTGTTTCATTGGAAAAGATGCGTTGGATTTTGTTTATTTGGAAATCTCTTGTTATTTCTAATTCAAAAGACTTTGAAACTTATTTTCAGAAGATGTTTATATGCATATAGAAAGGAGGAAAATATGCACTTAGTGTATTTCCCAAGAGAAAGCTAACTCCTCAATATAATTTTTCATTGACCAAATACCAGACCAAAAAAAAAAGACTTCCAGTCAGGACTCCAATGCTGACATCTCATGATGTCTTTGGATCTAGTTGGAGACTGTGTCCTTATTGCAGTTTACATAAGTTTCCTTGGGAGCAGTAATGGCTTTGGCTTGAGATTGACAGCTAATTTAGCAGATAATTGGTTTGGAGGGGTTAACTGGGTGTTAATGTTAACAKCTCTGTGGTGGTTTAGCCCTTCATGTTTTAAATCTCCTGCCTCTTACTGGTGCAATGTTCTGGTAAAGTAGCTTTAACAAAGTGCAGTAAAAAGTCTTAAGTCTGGATTTGCAGCTGTAACACAGCTCAGTTTTGAACAAGACATTAAGTGCCATAAAATGAACCTTTTCTCTTAAATATTTTAGCTTAATATTTAATATTTTTGGACTTGCATTGCCATATAGATCCTTTGTATAACTGTTGCTTGAAAATATCCTTCTATGTGTTCAGTGTATTAGAACATCCTTATTGGATACGGCTCATGGGACTTGAGGCACTAAAGGTACTGCTAAAGTAGAGCTGAGGAGAGTGGCAACAGGACTGCTCCTCAGGTCACATAATAGTAACCTGAAGCTCTTCTATGTCGGGGGCCCTGATGGAGGCAGTGTCCTGTTTTGCTCTACAGAACAGGTAGGAACAACATCCCAATGTTTTGAAGGATGGAGACAACTTTCTGGTGGGCCGGTGTACTTCAGTCTTTCTGGTTTCTTTCTGATTTTCTGTTGTAATATAAATAGCAAAGGAAGCCTTTTCCAATACAGCTGCTTACATATTCCCTGGACTGAACCCCAGGGTAGCAGAGTGTTGCAGTCTTGTGTTCTTCCAGCAGAGACTAATGTGTGAGGTAAAGGTAACTTTCTCTCTCCTTTCATGAATGAATTACAAGAATGTAACAAACACGAGAAACCAGTCTCAATCTGATTCAGTCAGTGCCAGCTTTATCTCCCCTGCTGTAGAGAAACAGTGTGGTCCTTTACATAGAGTAGCCAATATTAGCATATGTGACATTTTAGCTGAAARTGCTTGTGAGATTTTTATAATAGATTTGTTTCTTTCCCTTTTTGATGTATTTCTGTTAAATGTTTGTATAGTGCAGTTACTCAGAGGTTTGCTTTTGGAAATGCCAAAGAAGTTGAAGCCAAGTCTTTGTCTATTAAACTTCTGGTACTCTTAGTGCCTCTTCAGGTAGACGTGTTCTGAGGTTAAGATTTTGGTTTTCATCAGATGCATCATTCACTCTCCCKTATGTGTTCTACGCTGTCTTTAAGCTTCTGTTCAAGATCTTCAAAACTTTTCTAAGACAGGGAAGYACCATTTCTTTCCTTAAACAGAGCAGAACTGTGGACTAGAAGATAGAGGTCTAGATCTCTAAAAGCGCTTGGGTGCATGTAGTAGCATGCAGACTCTGAGTCCAGGCAGCTGAAGCAGCATCAACTAGCAAATGTTTCTGTAGGAAGTATAACATGAAATTTATATCCCTCTAACATGTTTAAGTATTCTTTTAATATATTAGTGCTTCTGACTTATGGGTGTACYGGGATTTTTATTAATGTGGTCATGTGGAAGGTAGGGATGATGATGCTCAGTTTTACTGTGTGTCTTTAAAGCACTAATTCTGAGCGTTTTGGGAAGAACAAGGAAGTACAGAAGTAAATTAGTCTCCTGAATCCTGGGGTATCATCCTTGTGGCTTTGTAGGGTRGATTTTAAGATATGTTAGCTGTAGTAGCAAATTTGTAGGCACTAGTTGTCTTTTCAGTATTTAATTGTGGTGAAGTTTATTTCCTAGTGAGGACTAGACTTCATGAGTCCTTAACAMTTTAGATTTTTGATCACAAATTTCCTAAAGACAAATTTGTGATATTGACACTCACACTGGAAGAACATGAGCTGACAGTCACTGCCTTAAAGGAAAGGGAATAATTTAGTGAATATTCCTGTACTCTTTTGTGGTTTATTCAATAGTTTGTGGTGCCTTCTGCTTACTGACCCATTAAGATACTGMTGACCCTGTCTGCCCTTAAGGGGCCTAAAGGATGTGTGAGGGTTGGCAGAGATGGTGGTGGTAAGTTTTTAAACTTAAGATTGGGAGGAGAATTAAATAAGCACATAATACACTGCTTCCAGGTAAACATGAGCAGTAAGTGGAAGTGTTTAATATGTACTTGTATGAATAATCAGATGTCTTTCCTCTGTAATAAAAGTCTGCATGTGTGCCCAGAGCAAATATTTTCTGTGTTTCCAGAAATAATTCCTGGTATGTACTTTGTATTCCATACAAAATAACTAATGAATCTGTTAACTGCAGTGGGAAAAAAGCCATGAAAACCTGA